AATAAACCCTGAGGGATCGAATGTGCTCAAATGTGTGCAACGGTAGTTGGGGAGTCAAAAGTTAGTAAGTGTAAGGGTCACCAGCTTCCAAAGGACAACCTTGAGTGACCTTTTATGTTAGTGATGAGAGTGTGGGCAGTAGCAGTTCAAGCCCACTGGGGCGCAATTGAGCTTGTTACTAAAACAGTCAATTTCCATTTGCAGCAGGGAGTGGCAATCTCAGCTAGCTCCGCCTCTGCCAAGAATTCTTGCGGCAAGGAAGTGGAAGAATGCAACAATACTGACAATTACAGACTGGCAGATACTCATGTTAGAATATTTACAACTAGCAAAACTGACGGGAAGATTTAGAGTAGTATTGAACCAGAAAATATTTGGAGAATGGAGAATATTTAAGGATTACAGTGGTACCTCGCAAGACGAATGCCTCGCAAGACGAAAAACTTGCAAGACGAAAGGGTTTTTTGTTTTTTGAGCTGCTTCGCAAGACGATTTTCCCTATGGGCTTGCTTCGCAAGACGGAAACGTCTTGCAAGTTTGTTTCCTTTTTCTTAAAACCGTTAATACAGTTGCGACTTGACTTCGAGGAGCAACTCATAGGACGCGGTGTGGTAGCCTTTTTTGAGGTTTTTGAAGACTTTGGTGATTTTTGAAGCTTTTCCAAAACTTTTCCGAAACCATGCTTCACAAGACGAAAAAATCGCAAGACGAAAAAACTCGCGGAACGAATTAATTTCGTCTTGCGAGGCACCACTGTATATAAGATCATATTGTACCAACCACACCATATTAGCAGAACTTGAGTGCTCCTTGTAAGCACAACAAATACCGTCTGTGGAGTAGACGGGAACAATACAGTGGTACCTCGGGTTAAGTACTTAATTCGTTCCGGAGGTCCGTACATTAACCTGAAACTGTTCTTAACCTGAAGCACCACTTTAGCTAATGGGGCCTCCTGCTGCTGCCGTGCCGCCGGACCACAATTTCTGTTCTCATCCTGAGGCCAAGTTCTCAACCTGAAGCACTATTTCTGGGTTAGTGGAGTCTGTAACCTGAAGCGTATGTAACCTGAAGCATATGTAACCCGAGGTACCACTGTATTAAAGAATATAAAACTCTGCGGGGGGAAACGACGACAATATAAACAGTACAATGAGGATGATTGGAAGACTCGTTTTGTCAGAAGTCTTTTTTATTTAAATGTTTAATTAAGTATTAATTAGGAAGATTAAGGGTTTTTTATGTACGTAAATTTGCTTTTTCTTCTTTCTTTTCTCTGTATTTTCTTTTTTTAAATTGTTTTTTCTTTAATTTTCATTTTGTAGTATGAGATTGGTTGCTTTTAAAAAGTGGGAGCTGGTATTCTGAGGAAACCGAATGCTGCACCCAGGACCATTTATTCCTGTCCTGGAGAACTGAAGCATATATGCAGCCTTGTCAAGAAATGAAAATGCAAAATGTAAGTCATCTTAAGAATTGCAAAGTCACTTCCGACCTCGGGAGGAGGTGGTGTTGTGGGCTCACACCCCCAACACTCGCGCGGAGGCTGGCTCCCAGCCCCACGCGATCAGGGGAATCCTCTGCCGCGTCATTCCCCTGGCCAGCCAATCAGCTGGCTCAGGGGGTGTGGCTTGCCGCATTTAAGGCAAGCGCGGCAGAGAAGCGTCCTCTTTGCCACCGATCAGCTGGGGAATTTCCCACCCACCCACCCTTCAAGGTTTCTCCTTTGACCTTGCTATGGACCTTGGTTGGTCGCCATTAAGGAGCCTGATAGGAATTTTCCCACTTGGCAAATTGGCACCAGCCATTTGGTTTTTTCGCCTACCTCGTAGCAAATTGTCACAACTTACCTGGTTTGGCGGTTAGGCATTGGTCGGGGTATTGTTATGTAGATGAATGGGGGGAGGAGCGCCGTCACCTCCCCCGGTTTACTGAAGGGCAGTCCGGTAAAGGATTCCTGGGGGCATGGCCCCGTCCGAAGCCTATGGAGGCCAGGAACCAAGGCATGCCCCCGAGCGGTGACCCCGGGGGAGTGCCTAGTTGATGTGCATCAGCAGGGCTCCCCCTGCTGGTGTTAACCCTTCCCGGCCTCTCAGCTAGACAGACTGAAGCCAGATAGTCGATTTGGACCAATGCCTAAGCCAATACCGCTCATCACCTGTAACCAATAAAGTTGTGGCCAATTTTAGCCCATTAACCTTAATTATTGTGTCTTGTGTCTTTATTTCCACTGGGGGGAGGGGGAACTCACCACAATGTTTATACCTTCAGCAGATGCAGAATTGGACTCTGAGGCAGCCATTGCCTCCTCCTTTTTGGGATCACTTTGGAAGGTACTAGCTGTACTGAAGACAATCATGCTCATGGAACTTAAGCATTTAGTTTTGCATTTTTTTTATTCCATTAATGTGTAATGTTTTATTATGCTTTTATATTTGTTGGAAGCTGCACAGAGTGGCTGGGGCAACCGAGTCAGAAGGGTGGGGTACAATTATTATTATTATTATTATTATTATTATTATTATTATTATTTACTACAAGCAGTCTCAGATGTGCCTGATGGCCCATGGATCATATCCATTGTGCATGTATTACAATAGCATCAAGTGACAAATTTCCACAAAAGACCTTGACTGCTGTTTTTAAGAAACTTGTTCTCCCTTTCACAAAGGACAATGTGACATAATTTTCAAGTGAGTAACTTGGGGCAATGATCAGGGCTGGATCAGGCCCTAAGCTCCTGAAGGTAATGGGGCCCTTTATATGTCCAGCTGTCCTTTGCCAACAACAAATTGTCGCTGTTTTTTGTGTTGAATATATATGGTAATTTATGGACCTAATAGGTATCTAAAGCCATTTGGTCGTAACAAAATGTGTATTTTTTCAAAGTAATTGTTGAACTGAAATACAATTAAGAAGTATATCAATAGTGAAAAGGGACGCGGGTGGCGCTGTGAGTTAAACCACAGAGCCTAGGACTTGCCGATCAGAAGGTCGGTGGTTTGAATCCCCACAATGGGATGAGCTCCCGTTGCTCGGTCCCTGCTCCTGCCAACCTAGCAGTTCAAAAGCACCTCAAAGTGCAAGTAGATAAATAGGTACCACTCTGGCGGGAAGGTAAATGGCATTTCCCTGTGCTGCTCTGGTTCGCCAGAAGTGGCTTAGTCATGCTGGCCACATGACCCGGAAGCTGTATGCCGGCTCCCTCGGCCAATAAAGCGCGATGAGCGCCGCAACCCCAGAGGCGGTCATGACTGGACCTAATGGTCAGGGGTCCCTTTACCTTTATATTAATAGTGAAATACAATTAAGAAGAAGTATATTAATAGTGAAATAATTATTAAGCTCTAACTTAAAATGATTTTTTATTCATAACAAACACATTGGCATTTGGCAATAACAAAAGTTCCTTTAGAAACACAATTTAGGTTTCATTTTATTTGTTTTTTATCTTATATTTTGGAAATGTACATCCAGTTCTTTTTTTCCTTTAATTTTTTGGGGGACCCCAAGAGAGTGGAGCCGTAAGCTATAGCTTGTTTAGCTTATACATATGTAAATCCAGCACTGGCAATGATACACAAATTTAAGAAATGTATAGGGGGGGTACCATTTCCAAATAAGTAGGTACTGAGCCACAAAGCCAACCCTGGAGATGACAGAATAATCTCATTTAAAGAAAGCAACCCTACAATGAACTATCATTGATATCTACAACTCTCTCTTAGCTGCTGACTGGAGTGTGGTTAAGAAGGCTCTCCTTCATGGAGAGCACGTGTTGCGGTGGGGGCTATCATGACATCCCCTGTTGCTGGGCAGGTTAGTATGGATGGCCACGAATTTGATTGGGCACCTCCAATTGTTGCTGGGGAGAATTTAATGGTTGGTTGATGGGGGTGCTATTTATTCCTTGTGCGCAGCATTGAGCTTCCTCTTTTCGCTGCGCACATCGGATTACCTGCCCACCCTCCCTATAGTTAGGGTTTGTTCGTGCTGACCTTGCTATGCCTGTCATGAGGTTGTCTGCTTTGGAGCAGGGGCCTGGTAAGAATTTTTACCATTTGACTGATTGGCTGGTGCCAGTTGGGTTTTTGCCTAAAGTTAAAGGTAAAGGGACCCCTGACCATTAGGTCCAGTCATGACCGACTCTGGGGTTGCGGCGCTCATCTTGCTTTATTGGCCGAGGGAGCCGGCGTACAGTTTCTGGGTCATGTGGCCAGCATGACTAAGCCGCTTCTGGCGAACCAGAGCAGCGCACAGAAACGCTGTTTACCTTCCCGCCGGAGTGGTACCTATTTATCTACTTGCACTTTGACGTGTTTTCAAACTGCTAGGTTGGCAGGAGCAGGGACCGAGCAACAGGAGCTCACCCCGTCACGGGGATTCGAACCGCCAACCTTCTGATCAGCAAGTCCTAGGCTCTGTGGTTTAACCCACAGCACCACCCACATTGCAAATCGTCACAACTTCTAAGGTTGCAGTTAGGCATTGGTTAATTTGGGTTGGTGGAGGGGATGTGGTTGGCTGTGCCTGCCCCTCCAATGCTGCTGCTGCAAGGGAATTCCGGTAAAGGAATCCAGGGGCTCGCCATGCTCTTGTCCGAACCCCTGGCAAGGGGCTAGGGCCACGCAAGAACCCCTGGGAGCATTTGGGGAGAGGTGAGAGCCTGGCGCCCAGCTCTATTCTCTCCCCAAAAATGTTTACCCTTACTGACTTCCGCAGGTTTGCGGTTGTCAGTTCTGTTCCTACCTCTATGTGGGAACAGATAGTCGCTAACCAATGCCTAAGCAACCACTCACATACTGTAATTCAATAAAGTCATGGCCAAAATTATGCCAAAAACCAAAACAAAAATGTTGTGTGAGCTGTGTCTTTATTTGGGGGTGTCCTGGGGGCCTTGACACGCAAAGGTTGGTTCACTGCACATTCAATTCAGTTTAAAGTTGTTGCAAATGATTACAGCTTTTGGAAGTAGATTTCATTTCAGCACACCAAGTCTGAGCATACCAAATAACGCAAGTGAAACAATGACGGCTGAGTCCCAGGAGAAGCTACTCTGTTTTGGTTTTCCTAAGGACCCTGCCACATTTCCGACAACAAAATAAACAGCATTTAACAGCAATAAATGTGACGACTGCCATGCAACTGATCAAGAAGACGAAGACATCCAGGGAGTGATATTGGTACCAGGTCAAATGATGCGCGGCTACTCTCAAGTGCTTGGCACCTTTGTGGCGCATGACAAACTCAATCCAAAAGACAGCCCGGTCCAGTGGCTTTATCGGTTGGTCATGGTAGATCTGTGACAGTCTCATTGCATTTTCCTTATACCTGGAGGATTGGATAAAGAAGGGGAGGGGGAAAGAGAGAAAAGGATGAACAAATTGGAATAGGGCCCAAACTCACATTTCCATTGCAGTTTAGCAGGTGTTACAAGTCCCGTTTGTGGTGTCATGGATGCAGAGCTCGGAGCCCAAGGAAGAAGGAAAGGAACTTAAGAGTGTTGAAGGTGGAGCAGTAGAGTCCTCATGAGACAGGGAAAGTGGAATTGACACCCCATGAAATGTCTGGTCCTGAATGTGATTGCTTTAAAAATTATCTGACAAAATATGGTTCCAATAACAAGACTTGGCTGTGCCTAGACTAACTTCACAGATATAAGGGAATTTTCTTTTTTAATAATGGAATACGGATTACTTAAATGTAAGAGAAATATGGAAACTGCAAAGAGATAGCGGGAAGTCAATTAACATATAAGGGACTCGATCCAGTTGAGTGGAATAGAAAGAATGTGACGGTAAAGAAAGAAAAGATGGAATATGAAGGTAATGTCTTTCTAGAAATTTTGGATATAGGATATTCAAACTATGGTTTGTACTCTTTAAATAATTTTGTGTATTTGACAAATATCTTTTTCTTTTTAAATTTTTCTTTTTATTTTCATATTTTCTTTTATTGTTTTTTCGGTATATGTGGCTATAAGGATTATTGGTTTTTTCGCCCTATAGGGCGCACCTAGTTTTCAGGGGGGGAATCAAGGAAAAAATATGATCCCCCCCCGCAGCTCTGGGAGCAGCGGACAGGCTGCACGCAGCCTGTGTGCTACTCCAAGACCTTCTTCCTGCTTTTGCAAGAGGTGATGGAATCCCCCCACCTCCCAGAAAAGCCAGGAGAAGCCGCGCGCTCTTTAAAGGGGTTGCGCGGCTTCTGCAGACTTTTGCGAGAGGTGAGGGAATCCCCCCACCTCCCAGAAAAGCCAGGAGCGCAGGCTTCCTAGGCTTCCCGTTGCTATCGCTGAAGCCAAGAAGCCTGCATTCGCCCCATAGGACGCACACACATTTCCCCTTCATTTTTGGAGGGGGGAAAGTGCATCCTATAGGGTGAAAAATACGGTAATTTATTTTCTTTCTTTTTTTTGTAAATTTTAAAAATGTAATAAAGATTAATAATAAAACAACAGAAATGAACAACTAAGGGAAAGAAAGAAATGTCTGATCCTTGGAAGAAGTTCAGTGGTCTGTGGTTAGATCTGGTTTGCAAAGAGAGGCTGAGTGGGTTTGCAGAGGAGCACCCACCTCTATGGTATTGGACACCCCTAGCCCAACACCTCCCAATGTGGAGCAGCCTCCAGCATCTCTTCCTATCAGTGAAGGGTATCCCTCACCTGGAGAGGCAGCTGAAAGCAAAGATGATGCTGAGCCAGCCCTGACTTTGCCTCCATTTTTATGGACACAGAGATGCCAGCACCAGTACAAAAATTCTACAGAGAGTCAGCCCATTCAACAGAGTGCCTTTTTGCTTTCCAAGTCTTCAGACTCCAGCCACTTGCCTCCGCCTCTTCAAAAGGAAGGTGCAGGAGGGATGTTGCTTCTTGGGTCAAGGTCATAGGCTTGTGTCTCCTCCCTCTGATATACCTTGTAATCTGTAGTTTATCTTATGTACCAATCTGATTTGAGCATTAAAGCCTTTGCACATTGGAGTTCTTCATCCGGCAGTGAAGGCAGACCCTCCAAGCGTCCCTATTTTCCTAAGACAGCGCCAGATTTACAGAAGCCATCCCGGTTTCTGATTTGATCCTGGAATGTCCCACTTTTCCTTTAAAAAGGTAAAGGACCCCTGAGAGTTAAGCCCAGTAGCGAATGACTCTGGGGTTGCGGCGCTCATCTCACTTTACTGGTCGAGGGAGCTGACGTTTGACCACAGACAGTTTTTCCAGGTCATGTGGCCAGCATGACTAAGCCGCTTCTGGTAAAACCAGAGCAGCGCATGGAAACACTGTTTACCTTCCCACCGGAGTGGTACCTATTTATCTACTTGCACTTTGATGTGCTTTTGAACTGCTAGGTTGACAGGAGCTGGGACCGAGTAACGGGAGCTCACCCCGGTCACAGGGATTTGAACCACTGACCTTCCAATTTGCAAGCCCTAGGCTCAGTGGTTTAGACCTTAAAGGTAAAGGTAAAGGGACCCCTAACCATTAGGTCCAGTCGTGACCGACCCTGGGGTTGCAGCACTCATCTCGCTTTATTGGCCGAGGGAGCCGACATATAGCTTCTGGGTCATGTGGCCAGCATGACTAAGTCGCTTCTACTGAACCAGAGCAGCGCACGGAAATGCTGTTTACCTCCCCGCCAGAGCGGTACCTATTTATCTACTTGCACTTTGACGTGCTTTCAAACTGCTAGGTTGGCAGGAGCAGGGACCAAGCAATGGGAGCTCACCCCGTCATGGGGATTAGAACTGCCGACCTTCTGATCGGCAAGTCCTAGGCTCTGTGGTTTAACCCACAGCGCCACCTGCGTCCCTCCGGTTTAGACCTTAGGAGGTCCCTATTTTTATTGGAGAATTGTTGGAGGGTATGGAGTTATATGTCCCCCAAGCCAAGGAGATAAGTAACTATACAACCTTTAGAAGACATCTGAAGGCAGCTCTGTTTAGGGAAGTTTTTTAATGTTCAATGTTTTATTATTATTTTTATATGTTGGAAGCTGCCTAGCGTGACTGGGGTAACCAGTCAGATGGGCGGAGTAACGATTAAAAAAACTAGTATGACATCATTCACTCAAAATCCAAAGTGACTTAGTGCAAAGGGGCTTTGAGATTTGGGAGAGAGGTTTTCTTTTAAAAATTGCTTGACATTTTAAATGGGAGGGTTGACCACTCACGTGGGATTGTGTATCACAGCCTTCACAGCTTCCAACAAATCTTCTGCTTTCATTGTTTGAAGGTCCAGTTCCACAGCCATCCCCTTTGCCTTCATGTGTACAATATTGTCGTGCTGGTCAGAAAATAAAGGAATCCCCACTATGGGAACGCCATGGTAAATGGCTTCATAAATCCCATTGATCCCACCATGTGCTATGAAGGCTTTGGTCTTGGGGTGTCCTGGAGGAGGAAGATGAGAATCTGTTGACTATGGGATGGTAAAGGCAGGTTATTAAAGTTGCTAGAATTCAAAACTGACCCTGTCCAAGCACATAAAAGGTAAAGGTACCCCTGCCCATACGGGCCAGTCTTGCCAGACTCTAGGGTTGTGCGCTCATCTCACTCTAGAGGCCGCGGGCCAGCGCTGTCCGTAGACACTTCCGGGTCACGTGGCCAGCATGACAAGCTGCATCTGGCGAGCCAGCGCAGCACACGGAAACGCCGTTTACCTTCCCGCTAGTAAGCGGTCCCTATTTATCTACTTGCACCCGAGGGTGCTTTCGAACTGCTAGGTTGGCAGGCGCTGGGACCGAGCAACGGGAGCTCACCCCGCCGCGGGGATTCGAACCGCCGACCTTTCGATCGGCAAGTCCTAGGCACCGAGGCTTTAACCCACAGCGCCACCCGCGTCCCCTTTGTCCAAGCACATAACAGCTTCATAAAACAGAGAGAATTTGTAGTTCCAGATCTCCTGAATAGCTGAAAACACAAAGCACCAAATATTTGAGCTTGGCTAGCTTGCTCAGGTTTGGGCCAAGATTTGAAAAACAGCACTGTCTGAGGGCTTGGTTTTCCTTGGGATGGACCCAGGTATTTTCCCTGCCTCTTTCCCCTTTCCGCCAAGGATCCCAAGAAGTTACACCTGTGAGAAACAGGTGTGAGAAACAGCTGCTGGATGAGGGGTAATAACTTGATCCAACTGGGGATGGCAGAAGAAATATGATAACCAGGGGCGAAGGTGAAGGTGACCCGGAAACTGCAATTAATCCAGAATGCGGCAGCTAGACTGGTGACTGGGAGTGGCCGCCGGGACCACGTAACACCAGTTCTGAGAGATCTGCATTGGCTCCCAGTACGTTTCTGAGCACAATTCAAAGTGTTGGTGCTGACCTTTAAAGCCCTAAACGGCCTCGGTCCTGTATACCTGAAGGAGCGTCTCCACCCCCATCGTTCTGCCCAGACACTGAGGTCCAGCGCCGAGGGCCTTCTGGCGGTTCCCTCATTGCGAGAAGTTAGGTTACAGGGAACCAGACAGAGGGCCTTCTCGGTAGTGGCACCCACCCTGTGGAACACCCTCCCTTCAGATGTGAAGGAAATAAGCAGCTATCCTATCTTTAAAAGACATCTGAAGGCAGCCCTGTTCAGGGAAGTTTTTAATATTTAATGCTGTACTGTTTTTAACACTTGATTGGGAACCGCCCAGAGTGGCTGGGGAAATTAATTAATAATAATAGCAGGGACAGCCTGCATCTCACCTTGTGTTGAGGCAGGCGGTGGGATGCATGCCTCTTGGTGGACAATGGTCTGATTCTACTCTTGGAGGGGGGGGAGCTCAGTCAAAGAGCTTGTGCCAATTGCTTGCCTCAGACAAGGAGTGGGGTCACAGCAGCAAGCAGCAAGTGGGAAGGGAATGTGCCAAAGCCTAGAAATTGCATCCTTGCCCACTTAAAACAAAACAAAAACAAACAAGTCTTCAGTTGGGATTCTCCTCACCCAAGTGTTTCCAAGTACAGCAGGGGTCAACAAGGTTTACCTTACCTGGGATGGTTCACTCCAGCGGAGATCCCTTCGTGGGCTGGATCGCCTGCCCACTCGCGATTTCCGGCACCCGTGTCTGCACAGACATAATTTCTGGCATCTACGTCTGTGCAGACGCAATTTCCGGCACTACAAAAGCGAGTCCCCGCGCAGCGCTGTGCAGGTTTAGCGCAGTGCATGGGGACTCACTTGGTTCAGGGGCGGCTTGTGGGCCAGTTAAACGACCCCATGGGCCTTAGGTGGCCAACCCCTGGGCTACAGCATGTGTGCGCTCACCATTTCCCAGTTTGCATCTTCCCCTCTTCCCTGCCCAACACACACATTGCCAATTCTGAGATTATTTTTTAAAATGATCCAAGCTCAGCAATAAAGCAGGCATAAGAGAATACAAGGGGCAGGGTGAAGCTACTGATTAAGTAAAGGTAAAGGTACCCCTGCCCGTACGGGCCAGTCTTGCCAGACTCTAGGGTTGTGCGCTCATCTCACTCTATAGGCCGGGAGCCAGCGCTGTCCGCAGACACTTCCGGGTCACGTGGCCAGCGTGACAAGCTGCATCTGGCGAGCCAGCGCAGCACACGGAACGCCGTTTACCTTCCCGCTAGTAAGCGGTCCCTATTTATCTACTTGCACCCGGGGGTGCTTTCGAACTGCTAGGTTGGCAGGCGCTGGGACCGAGCAGCGGGAGCGCACCCCGCCGCGGGGATTCGAACCGCCGACCTTTCGATCGGCAAGTCCTAGGCACTGAGGCTTTTACCCACAGCGCCACCCGCGTCCCTAAAAAAGCTACTGATTAGGAATGGAATAAACGAAGGGGAAGGTGTTCATTGCTACTATCTAGGGCTGTCATGACGTGAGTGAGGAAAGTGAGGCTGGAGGAGAGATATTTCCTAGGAATTGGCAGAACGCTGCAATGAAGCCATTAACTGCAACAAGCATGAGGTCTCTCTCACCAAGAAGATCATTTTGTGGTATCCAGTCATAAATCCTGGTGTTTTCGCCTAAGGTTTCTGGCCGTTTCCCTTTGTGGCGCCAAAGAACCTGGATTTGGAGGGGAAATGGAAAGACTGTTCTCTGTAGCTCAGGTTGCAAGGAAAACTGGGATGACCCCCCCCCCCAGGCATTCTACTCATCTTGCTTGGCTTTCAATCAGCACCACGTTGATCTGTAGGCTTCTCCAATAACTGGAGCTGTCCTTCTGCTTTCTAATACAGTGGTGCCTCGCAAGACGAAAAGAATCCGTTCCGCGAGTCTCTTCGTCTTGCGGTTTTTTTGTCTTGCGAAGCAACCCACTTAGCAGATTAGCGCTATTAGCGGTTTAGCGGCTTAGCAGCTATTAGCGGCTTAGCGGGCTTAGCGGATCAGCTGATAAGCGGTTTAGCAGCTTAGCGGATCAGCTGATAAGCGGCTTAGCGGCTTAGCGGATCAGCTGATAAGCAGCTTAGCGGCTTAGCGATCAGCTGTTAAGTGGCTTAGCGGCTTAGCGGATCAGCTGTTAAGTGGCTTAGCGGCTTGGGAAAAGGGGGGGGAAACCTGCAGGAACTCGCAAGACATTTTCGTCTTGCGAAGCAAGCCCATAGGAAATTCGTTTTGCGAAGCACCTCCAAAACGGAAAACCCTTTCGTCTAGCAGGTTTTCCGTCTTGCGAGGCATTCATCTTGCGGGGCACCACTGTATGGATCATCAACACTGGCTGCTTAGCCACTTTCCTTAGTGATAGTGTAATAATACGGTGGTACCTTGGGTTACATACGCTTCAGGTTACAGACTCCGCTAACCCAGAAATAGTGCTTCAGGTTAAGAACTTTGCTTCAGGATGAGAACAGAAATCGTGCTCTGGCGGCAGCAGGAGGCCCCATTAGCTAAAGTGGTGCTTCAGGTTAAGAACAGTTTCAGGTTAAGAACGGAGCTCCGGAACGAATTAAGTACTTAACCCAAGGTACCACTGTAATGCACCATATTTCTATACCACATCTGTGTCCCTGATATATAGTAGCCTAGTAGACAACTGAACAATACGGCATTTATATATTAAGAAAATATATAAGCTACATTTAAACAATCAAGTATGTTGACTTCAGGCTATGTTGGACTGTTCTGACTCCATATTCCCCCAGCACTGAGAATCTATAATGTATGAGTAAATCTGAAAAAAAGATTCAAACTAAAAGTTATCCAGAGCTAATTCCATCTGCTCCTCAAAGCAGACCTTAGGGAGCCTATTTTCTCCTCTCTGAATTATTTTGCATTATTCTACATCTCATAACAAGTATTGGGCTAGGAGTAGCCTCATCGTCTAAGCCTGCTCTAATTTATTTAAGTAGGAGTAGATTTCAAGAAAAGCAAGTCTTTAAAACGTCTGTTGTAAAAGCATGCAATTTCACAGCCAGGGTAAGGAAACCAGGGAAGCATTTTCACAAGTCCACTATACAAGTGAATTGTTATTTTCTAACTAAATGCCATGAACACTGACCTTCTGTGGAAGTTGGCTGAGTGCCGATGCAACCATGTTACTCTTTTCATCTGTTAAGTTTGGGAAAAAAGTGCCCAGAGAAAACACGACAATGCCGTGTTCCCCTGAACTCTGGACAAATTCTTCCATTTCCTGTCAAAAGATTTAAAGCATTCTTTATAAACCAACAAACCACCTTCCTCCATGTCTTTGCCATGTGAACCTGATGCATGAATTAGAAATGTCAATGTTGACACTTCAAGTTGTGCTGGCCTCTGAGTGAGAAGGTGGCATTTAAGGTCCAGTTTCCAGCATCTTAGAAAGGGGTTCCAGTGCCCTTTAGGACTGAGGAGTTACAGGTTGTGTGCTCAGTCAGTCCGGTTTCTCTGTGCTATCAGAAAAAGCAGAGCTGTGCTCCGGGAAATGTTTCAGGAATGTATGTCCCTTCTAGAGAAATCTGAAATGGTGTCCCTGGATTGACATGCAGACAATAATATCTCTCTCCCCCCCCCATTAATTAAATTTGATTACCACCCTTCATCCATAGATCTCAGGTTGGTTCGCATCATGAAAAACAACAACACAAAACACATAATAGAAACATGAACAAATAAATCCAATAACCGCCCTGCTCCCACAAACACATTTTAAAGGGTATTGGATGTTAATCATGTTGGGATTTCATTACTCGGTTGCTGGATGTGTGATTGTTTTCATCACATGTCTGTGTTGACATTCCATACTATTGGAGTCATGAGAACGGAAGTTCAGTTACACTTTGTTATGTATGTAGTACTATTGTTTTTAGTCTGTTCTGTCTCGGAGAAGAAGAAGGAGAGAGGAGCCATGTTTTCTTTGTTCTGTAACACTTGTATATAATAAATTAGCTTCGATTCCACACCTCAAATGCCTAGCTTCTGCTTGGACTCTGCAATCGGATTGTGTGCATATATCTTCGGATATGTGTCACAGAAGCACTTCGGGAAAGAAGAGTGAAGAATCATCCCGAGGGTTGCTTGTGGGGGAGAGCGCAGCTGCCTGGCATTTTCCAAGTTGGTTCAAGAAGCCCAGTGCGGTTTAACATACCAACATATCAATCAAAGGCCTGGTTGAAGAGGACTTTTTTGCCTGGTACCTAAACGTGTATAATGAAGATGCCAGACAAACTTCCCTTGATGTATCCTTCCTTCATTCTGCCACTCAGAATGTCATACCAGACTTCACCCCTTGATAAGACTGCCTGCGTCTTCAGATTTGAATGCTACGATGCTGCCAATCATCTTAGAGTCATGGTTGCTCTTTATTTAGAGCAAGATTAGGAAATCAATCCATACCTCCTCCACATACAATAAAAAGTTCCTAAGACAGCATCTTAAAAAGCAGACATCACCTTGCCGACAAAGGTCCATGTTGTTAAGCTATTCTTATGTATGGAAGTGAGAGCGGGACCATAAAGAAGGCTGATGGCCGAAGAATTGATGCTTTTGAATTATGGTGCTGGAGGAGACTCTTGAGAGTCCCATGGACAGCAAGAAGATCAAACCTCTCCATTCTGAAGGAAATCAGCCCTGAGTGCTCACTGGAAGGACAGATCGTGAAGCTGAGGCTCCAATGCTTTGGCCACCTCATGAGAAGAAAAGACTCCCTGGAAAAGACCCTGATGCTGGGAAAGATGGAGGGCACAAAAAGAAGGGGACAACAGAGGACGAGATGGTTGGACAGTGTTCTTGAAGCTACCAACATGAGTTTGACCAAACTGCAGAGGCAGTGGAGTGCCTGGAGTGCTCTGGTCCATGGGGTCACGAAGAGTCGGACATGACTAAACGACTAAACAACAACAACTTGTCCTCGCCACCACACGCCCTCCCCTTTCCTGGTGGTGTTTTGAGGGGGGGCCAGGCACGATTACCACGACCAGTTGATAGGCAAAGGAGGGAATTACCTCTGGCAAAGGCTTGGCTGGCTTCAAGTGCAGACCCCCCACAAATTGAAAATTTGGTAGGAAAGGCCGCGGAAATTCGAAGTCCCAGTAGGTGCGGACCAACCAGATCTCTGCTTTCCCCATCGCTTCACATAATGTTGTGGGTCTCCCTGTTGAACGAGGGAAAGGGAATGAGTTTAAATGCAGCTTGTATTTTCTTTATAGATATGAGGGCTTTAGCAACCTTGTTTGCCAAAATACAGGAAGCTGGATTCCACATTACGTTTTAACTATATACTGTACACCTGGAAAAAAGGAAAAAAGAAATATGGACAGCAACTGGGGACAGAGTCTGCAGAAATATGTGTTATGCTACACATTTGTTAGGAAGCCAGAAATGGCTATGGCTCCTTCAGAGATATTCTTTCAGTGCCAAATCCATATTTTTTCTTCTATAGTATTTAGAATAATCCTTTCCTCAGAAGTCAGAATTGGTAGCTGAATGTGCATCAGTGCCAGTCTCGCTCTCCCCAATCTGATGTCCTTCAGGTTCTGGCTGGGGCGTATGGAAGTTTTAGGCTGAAAGGCTCCATTAGACTGAATTTTTCAATTTGCGATTTATTTTTAAAAGTTACTGCAAAGAAATTACCAGCATTTCAGTGCATATTTTATTCCAACGCACACATTTTTGTGTGGCAGCTACCCTATTGTGTGTTGTTGTTGTTTTGCAATTTCCTCCATTATAATACATTTTCATAAGGTCTCCTCACTGATGTATGCATTCTCATGCCTGCTTCATTTAATGTCTCGTAATTTCTTTTGTATTGGTTATTTTCTAGTTAGTTGCTCATGGGTGGCGCTGTGGGTTAAACCATAGAGCCTAGGACTTGCCGATCAGAAGGTCGGCGGTTCTAATCCCCGCGACGGGGTGAGCTCCCGTTGCTTGGTCCCTGCTCCTGCCCACCTAGCAGTTTGAAAGCACGTCAAAGTGCAAGTAGATAAATAGGTACCACTCCGGCAGGAAGGTAAACAGTGTTTCCGTGCACTGCTCTGGTTCGCCAGAAGCGGCTTAGTCATGCTGGCCACATGACCCGGAAGCTGTACACCAGCTCCCTCGGCCAATAAAGAGAGATGAGCGTCACAACCCCAGAGTCGGTCACGACTGGACCAAATGGTCAGGGGTCCCTTTACCTTTAATTTCTTTTGTATGGGTTATTTTCTAGTTAGTTGCTTATAGCAAATCCTTAATAAAAAGAGTTTTAAAAAGAGAGAAGTTCTTCAAGATCAATTTGAATTCAGGGAGAGTTGCCCAGAAAGGAGAACAATTTGATGGAGCAAGAAGGTAGCAAGGCAGGTGAGATCTGCTCCTTCCCTTACAGGTGGTCAAGTTTGGTAGTCTCTATTTCCAGCTGACCGTGGCTCTACATAGCCTCAGGATGAGGCCTTTCCAGTCCTGCTACTTGGAGGTCCTTTCTAACTGGTCATGCCAAGGACTGAAGTTGGAATCCTTGGCCTCTTTAGAGCATCTACTCTACCAAATAATAACAATACTTTGGGAAGAAGAAACAAAAACAAGCTTACCTAAAACCTGACTGTAATAAGAGTCCCACTCTCCAAACCAAGTCTGGAAAACATGGTCTTGCAGATGGCAAGATAGTACGTTTTTCACCCTTTCTCCAAATGACATTCTGTCTGTGAGCTCAGACAAAACAGCCGGAACATACGAAGGAGGGGAAGGTATCTTCGCACAGTGTCTTTCTATGGTTGAGGCTGGCATGTACCTCAAGGTGTACATAAATGGGATGCCCAGTTTCAAGGCAATCAGGTCGCCACCGAACGCCACAGGGTCTGAAAGAAGCACATCGTATTTGCTCTTTGCCAGGCGGGCCATGAGTCCCTTATTGGCCAGAAGCGCTTCGCATATGTCCTTCTGTAAGTCAACCATTTTCCCCACCTCTTTCCCCAGCTCTTTGTAAAACCAGTAGAAGGTCAGAGTGGTTGGCTTGTTGTTCACCCATGCCCATATGGCGTTCGAGAAAATGGAATCGACCTCATCCTTTCCATAGGACACTGGAAATACCTCAAACTTAGCCGCTGATATATCATCACTGGGTTTGATTAAGAGTGCTGACGTTGGAACTAGAATGCTGACGTTGTGACCTCTGTGTAGCAGTTCTTGAATGATGACCTTAACATTTAGCCAGTGACTGGCTTCCGCTGGCCAAATAAGCACATTCCCACAGGAAATGTTTCCTATTAAGGCAACCTGAAGTATTAGTAGCTGAATCACAACCACTGTTGCTGAGGCAGAGGACGCAAGACACTTTTCTGAGGCAGCCATATTTCTTCTATCACTCCACAGCAGAGGAAAATTATTCAGCGTTTTGTTTGTGTGAGAAACCTCCCGTCCCAAGTTTTCCTTTCACAGAAGACTTTTTACCAAGTGTGTTGAGTCAGGTTTTTTTTTAACTCTCCAAGCAAGCAGAACGCTGCACTGAATATTTCTGAAATGGAAAAGACAAATGGCACAGCTTTCCTCCGCCACTATTTCCGACAAAAATCATAACCTGCCCATACCATTTCGGATCCAGTCAAGGTTAGCTGTTCTTACAAACCCACCCAAACCTTCTCATTGTGTTAATATGTGGTGAACTATATTTCTTCTTCAATTTCTTATTGAAGAAAAACTTCCGCTTTTACCACAGCTGCAACAGTGTGAGCTCCGATCGCAGTAAGCAAGTCGGGGTGTACACCGGTACTGTGAGGGGCAACATTTGGCTAAACGACCCCTGAAAAGGTTTGGAAGGAAAGCTCAAGCCAAAGGAACGCCGGCAGTGTCTTTTTAGAGTCCCGGCACCCCTCGCCAAAAGGGGGGGAAAGGCTGAGGTGGGGGGAGGAATCCAGGCACAGAAAAGAATATCAAACAGAAGAGCCTCACATCACTGAAGCAGCTCAACATTAAAAAAAACTAAGATCATGGCCACTGGTCCCATCACCTCCTGGCAAATAGAAGGGGAAGAAATGGAGGCAGTGAGAGATTCTACTTTTTTGGGCTCCATGATCACTGCAAATGGTGACAGCAGTCACGAAATTAAAAGATGCCTGCTTCTTGGGAGAAAAGCAATGACAAGCCTAGACAGCATCTTAAAAAGCAGAGACATCACCTTGCCAACAAAGGTCCATATAGTTAAAGCTCTGGTTTTCCCAGTAGTGATGTATGGAAGTGAGAGCTGGACCATAAAGAAGGCTGATCGCCGAAGAATTGATGCTTTTGAATTCTGGTGCTGGAGCAGACTCTTGAGAGACCCATGGACTGCAAGAAGATCAAACCTATCCATTCTGAAGGAAATCAGCCCTGAGTGCTCACTGGAAGGACAGATCGTGAAGCTGAGGCTCCAGTACTTTGGCCACCTCATGAGAAGAGGAGACTCCCTGGAAAAGACCCTGATGTTGGGAAAGATGGAGGGCACAAGGAGAAGGGGACGACAGAGGACAAGATGGTTGGACAGTGTTGTCAAAGCTACCAGCATAAGTTTGACTAAACTGTGGGAGGCAGTGGAAGACAGGAGTGCCTGGTGTGCTCTGGTCCATGGGGTCACGAAGAGTCGGACACGACTAAACGACTAAACAACAACAAACCCTTGGTCTAAATGATTAAGCACCAAAGTTTGAAAAGTGGGGGCTATTTCTATCTATGCAATGTCAAAATACTGGGTAAAATGGTTCACATACACAGCTGGGCTTCCAAGTGGGAAACCCAGATTTTATGGAAGCTTATCAGCAGTTCCTCAATGAGAAAATCAGAAATGGGCAAATATCTCTGATATTTGCATACAGCGTTTGTTCTTCCTCTTCAATATGGAGTCGTAAGGGCAGGTATATTGGGTGTATATTGGTGTATATTGGTGGTTCCTCTTTTGCTAAATTTGGTATTCATTTCATTTATATCTCAACTTTCTTTCTTTTTTCATGGAACTCAGGACAGGCTACATAGAGTTCCCAGCCAAATTCCATCCCGGAACTGACCAGGTCCAGACCTCTTTAGCATCCAGAAGACTGTGACATCACATACCTTCTGACCAAGTCCCGGGCCATATTGTTCCCTTCACTGTCATGCTGGCCAAAAATTCACTTTGCCTTCCCAAACAAAATATATTCAGAGTCTCCTGACTTACCTGGATTCACTGAGACCTCCACTTCCTGTCACTGGTAGTAGAGAAACAGGCGTGTCCTCAGGCTTATACGGAGAACAAACACTGCTACTCACTAAGGGAACTTGGCTGTTTATTTTTGACCAAGGTACAAGTGAGGCCCAGAGCCTTTAACTACATCCAGTCAGCCTACCAATATAACGCAAGAAAGAACCGGGGGTTCTTATCACCATGCGGCATCTACAAGGTCCCTCCTACAATTAATAACTTTTCATTCTCTCATTACTATTGAATACACTCTACCACATTCCTTCCCAACAATTTATTAACTCATCACAAACAATTCAAGTCCAGAGGCCCCTCTCTGCTTTGGACCAGGCATGTCCAAAGTCCATTTTGGGGGCCTAATCCGGTTTAATCCAGCCCCTGTGGCAGTCTGGGGTAAAATCCCCCAAAAAGCTCAACAACTTCAATCCTAAAAAGCGTGTCCTCCCTAAAAGAGGACACAGATCTCTCAGTTGTGGGTGGGTATATTGGACAGCCACAACACCCAATTGGTAGGTCCCTCATTACTGGGTTTAATCTGGCCAATGGGGAGCTGTCTAAACGGGCCAAGGGACCTATATATACCTACGCACGTGACCCAGAGCTTCCTCTTTCGGCTCGTGCATTCAGAACACCCGCCCACCTCTCCCTATCTTTAGGGCATTTTGCGCTTCACCTTGCTATGCCGCCATGTGTCGTCTGTCGTTGGGACAGGGGCATGGCAGGAATTTTCCGCACTTGACTGATTGGCTGTGGCCATTTGGGTTTTGCCTGCCGCGTAGCAAATCATCACAACTTGTAAGGTTGTGGATAGGAATGTGATAGGGATGGGAGAACAGTCTCGCCATCCCTATGTGAAGGGTATTCCGTTAAAGGAATCCAGGGACTCAACTTGTTTTGGTCAACCCCTGAGATGGGGTTGTGCCCATGCCTGAGTCCAGGGGAGCATCTGGGGAGTGAACAGAGTCTGCTCCCAGGCTTTTCACCTACCTCAGGTGTTCACCCTTGGCTCACCTATGATAGAGCTCTGGGTCAATACTACCTGCAAGGGTACAGGGAGCTAGTGTGGTGTGGGTAAAAGCCTCAGCGCCTAGGGCTTGCCGATCGAAAGGTTGGCGGTTCGAATCCCCGCGGCGGGGTGCGCTCCCGCTGCTCGGTCCCAGCGCCTGCCAACCTACCAGTTAGAAAGCACCCCCGGGTGCAAGTAGATAAATAGGGACCGCTTACCAGCGGGAAGGTAAACGGCGTTCCGTGTGCTGCGATGGCTTGCCAGATGCAGCTTGTCACGCTGGTCACGTGACCCGGAAGTGTCTGCGGACAGCGCTGGCCCCCGGCCTCTTGAGTGAGATGGGCGCACAACCCTAGAGTCTGTCAAGACTGGCCCGTACGGGCAGGGGTACCTTTACCTTTACTTTACGTGTGTTTATTTGGGGGGGAGGTCTCTGGGTCTCAACACGCAAAAAGGTCAACAAGTTTAATCCTAAAAGAAGCTCAACAACTCTGGGATAAAACTGTAAAAAAAGTTCAACAACTTCAATCCTAAAATAAGGTCAACAACTTTGGTCGGTCCCTTGGTCTGCCCTCACGCATGTTCACTTCGTCAAATCTGGCCCTCTTTGAAAAATGTTTGGACAGCCCTGTAATAGACCAATGTAAAACCCGTCATGGTTCGTGCAATTTCAGGTCCTGGCCCACTTCACTCAAAGCGAATTTCAACTTTGCCATGAGGCGGCTGTGCTGGCAATATAGGTAAAGGTAAAGGGACCCCTGACCATTAGGTCCAGTCGTGACTGACTCTGGGGTTGCGGCACTCATCTCGTTTTATTGGCCGAGGGAGCCGGCGTTTGTCTGCAGACAGCTTCTGGGTCATGTGGCCAGCATGACTAAGCCGCTTCTGGCGAACCAGAGCAGCACACGGAAATGCCGTTTACCTTCCCACCAGAGCAGTACCTATTTATCTACTTGCACTTTGACGTGCTTTTGAACTGCTAGGTTGGCAGGAGCAGGGACCGAGCAATGGGAGCTCACCCCGTTGCGGGGATTCAAACCACCGACCTTCTGATCGGCAAGTCCTAGGCTCTGTGGTTTAACCCACAGCGCCACCCGCGTCCCTGCTGGCAATATAGTTCAGAGTAATCTCCGATTGGTAGTACCCAATCCATCCTTGCCTTCCACAAGATATGAAACTGACCCTAATTTCTGGAGTACTTTGGATGGAATCCATTCACCTAAACCAGGCATAGGCAAACTCAGCCCTTCAGATGTTTTGGGACTACAACTCCCATCATCCCTAGCTAACAGGACCAGTGGTCAGGGATGATGGGAATTGTAGTCTCAAAACATCTGGAGGGCCGAGTTGACCTATGCCTGACCTAAACAAAGGGAGCCATAGTCCCCACCAAGTCCTTCTGCCTTCTGATAGACCTTACCATGCTAGAACTGAACTGGAACGCCTTTTCCCATTCACTTCCAGCCCTGTATTAGTGCTCACTATTTTTAAACAACAACAAATAAAAATCAAATCATACTTGGAGACATTTTTTGTTTGCAGATACAGGAGAGCAGCTATGCTTGTTAATGTTTGGACCTTTGCTCTGTTAAATGGAAGACCTGACAAGATTAGCAGGTTTCTGCTTAATGAACAACTTTGCCCCTGCAGAATCAGCTGTATGCTGGCTGGGTCATTTTGTACTGCAATTGAGGACACTTCCAGACAGGGGCTTAATTGGACATTGGCAAGAGGTGTTTTCTCGGTTGGGCCGGCCACCAAAGGAACTCCCATCCAAACTCTGCTGGCATTGGCCAATTAGCTGGCAGCCATGCAATCCAGCCTTCCATTCACTGGATCACTTGACATGGACCAAGGACTTATATATTCCTAAGAAAGAGTAAATTTGGGTTAAATAAGGTGGGGAGGGGGTTGGCATTTTGATGTCAATGGGTTTGTGTGGATACTGCAAACAAGCAAGCAAGCAAGCTTGCTTGACGAGATGTACTAATCTCTGAAACTGGACACTTCCAAACTGTCACTATTTTGGGTGGAATTCGTTCACATCCCAGCATATTCAGGTTGCACAATTAAAGCTGATCTGGAGATCTTGCAAAATAAGTCCATCTTTCCCAATTATTATTCTCCCAACGGGGAGGTGTACTCAAAAGGATGGTGTGGCACTTGCTTGATGCAATATCATCTACTCTCTCCATGTTGTTGTTGTTTAGTCGTTTAGTCGTGTCCGACTCTTCGTGACCCCATGGACCAGAGCACGCCAGGCACTCCTGTCTTCCACTGCCTCCCGCAATTTAGTCAAAGTCATGCTGGTAGCTTCGACAACACTAGCCAACCATCTCATCCTCCGTCGTCCCCTTCTCCTTGTGCCCTCCATCTTTCCCAACATCAGGGTCTTTTCCAGGGAGTCTTGTCTTCTCATGAGGTGGCCAAAGTATTGGAGCCTCAGCTTCACGATCTGTCCTTCCAGTGAGCACTCAGGGCTGATTTCCTTCAGAATGAATAGGTTTGATCTTCTTGCAGTCCATGGGACTCTCAAGAGTCTCCTCCAGCACCATAATTCAAAAGCATCAATTCTTCGGCGATCAGCCTTCTTTATGGTCCAGCTCTCACTTCCATACATCACTACTGGGAAAACCATAGCTTTAACTATACGGACCTTTATTGGCAAGGTGATGTCTCTGCTTTTTTGCTCTCTCCATACATGCACACAAATCGGAATGAAAGCTCACTAAATAGCTGCCATTGTCCAATCACTCTGCAAACAAATCTGGCTGAATACTCATTAAACATTAAGGCAGTCATCTGGAAGTGATCTCTGATAGGTTTCTGTTTTGGGAATGATGCTTTTTGTTACTGGAAAGGTAGCTAATTTTGTTGTTTGTTTTCACTACAAATTAGGAAGTAGAATTACCTTTTAGCTTCTCTGTGGATTTGCTTGCACCTTTCAAACCTTTTCCTGGGTACATGATTATTACTATTACAGTGGTACCTCGGGTTAAGTACTTAATTCGTTCCGGAGGTCCGTTCTTAACCTGAAACTGTTCTTAACCTGAAGCATCACTTTAGTTAATGGGGCCTCCTCCTGCTGCGGCTGCACGATTTCTGTTCTCATCCTGAAGCAAAGTTCTTAACCTGAGGCACTATTTCTGGGTTAGCGGAGTCTGTAACCTAAAGCGTATGTAACCTGAAGCATATGTAACCCAAGGTACCACTGTATTATTATTATTACTACTACTACCACTACTAATAATAATAATAATAAATTTCTATACCACCCTTCATCTGAAGATCACAGGGTGGTTTACAATATAAAAACACAAAAATACAAACAAAAATAACAAACAAAAGCAAAAGGCCGCCCACCCACACAGTTTAAAAGCCCATATATTGTTTAATCAGCCAAAGGCTTGGGAGAAGAGGAATATTTTCTCCTGACACCTGAAGATAATGTAACAAAGGTGCTAGGTGAGTCTTCCACAAGTGGGGAGCCCCACATAAAATCCATTAGCACCATCAAATAATTCTCTACAATCAGCTTTTACCTCTCCATTGTTTTCCTCCGTTGTTTTATTATCCTGAGTTAATTCTTTCTGAAAATAAAAATTTTCAAAAGGAAAAGATCAGAGCAGTACCCTTAGCCCTCTGCGGTTGACAGACTTCTAGTTTTGTTCTTGTTCGTCAATTTAATGGCTGATCTAGACGGCAACATCTGCCTGGTCCCTTCTATTATTATCAATAGCATTCCTCTGGCTATCATTAGCAACCATTTTGACCAGCTCTCTAATAGTTGTACACTTTGGACAGCTCTTCTCGCAGAGCCTTCTTTTCTGCTTTCCACTCTAGATGTCTTGCCCGACCATGTTCAAAGCATTCATGTAGCCATCCCTGAATCTCTCCTCTGTGATACTTACTTACTCTGTAATCCAAACCATGCCTACTCAGAATTCAGTGGTGAGTGGGGTGAGGATTGCAGCCTTAGTTCATGGTCCAGTTCTCCCAGGTATGTTGGATGTTCAGATATGATTTTGACCCAAGTGGTTACAATCATGACATACTGTGAGCGATAACATGACCGAATTCATCCCAGTACATCTCATGCCGAATAATACACCAGAGTTAGTAGGTCATACAGCGGGTGGCGTTGTGGTCTAAACCACTGAGCCTCTTGGGCTTGCCAATCGGAAGGTCAGCGGTTTGAATCCCCACGACGGGGTGAGCTCCCGTTGCTCTGTCCCAGCTTCTGCCAACCTAGCAGTTTGAAAGCATGCCAGTGCAAGTAGATAAATAAGTACCACTGAGGTGGGGAGGTAAACAGTGTTTCCGTGCGCTCCGGCTTCTGTCACAGTGTCCCGTTGTGCCAGAACTGGTTTAGTCCTGCTGGCCACATGACCTGGAAAGCTGTCTGCAGACAAACGCCGGCTCCCTCGGCCTGAAAGCGAGATGAGCGCCACAACCCGATAGTCGCCTTTGACTGGACTTAACCGTCCAGGAGTCCTTTACCTTTAGTTTTTACCCTGTGTTTCCTATGTGGTCTTTCCTGTTGTGGGATTGTAATATGTGTTTCCCATTGTGGCATTATATGCTGTTCAGAGAGGCCCGACCTCCCCTCCATCAATCAAACAAATCCTCATTTTCCTGCACACATTTTCTCAAACAGGCATTGTCCGTATGCATTGGCTCAGTAAGAAGAAGAAGAAGAGTTTGGATTTGATATCCCGCTTTATCACTACCCAAAGGAGTCTCAAAGCGGCTAACAATCTCCTTTCCCTTCCTCCCCCACAACAAAAACTCTGTGAGGTGAGTGGGGCTGAGAGACTTCAGAGAAGTGTGACTAGCCCAAGGTCACCCAGCAGCTGCATGTGGAGGAGCGGGGAATCGAATCCAGTTCACCAGATTACGAGTCCACCGCTCTGAACCATTACACCACACTTATTAACAAACCCTATATAGGTCCCACCTTACTATAGTCACTCTAGTATGCTATGTGAAGGGACATGGGTGGTGCTGTGGTCTAAACCACTGGGTACATCCTGAGAGTCTACGTCTGCCGTCACTAACTGGCCTTTCCCCATGCTATTGAATCCATGACTAAAATATTTGAAGTGGGATTACAGGGGTGTTGACTGTGTGCAGTTGCATTACAGACAAAACACACACACGCATGGACTGTGTGCCATCCCACAGCCTTTCTGCAACTAAAATGTGCACCAGTTGTTCCTGCATTTTCCCCTAATGACAGCTTTGCTGCACCGGTCCTTATTCGCACCCCTTCGCACACCTCCGCCTGCTTCTGTTTGCTCACCCACCTACAGAAATAGCCGTTGGTTACGTTTCTGGTATTTTGCAATCTTTTATTTCTTTAAATTCAAGAATTCACTATTTCTTTTCATTGCTAGTTTGACGCTTTGGAGACATCTTTACGTGTAAGTGCACGGACACTGGCGCTGCTCGCTTCGGTCCCCTTGGTACCCTGAAAGACAAGAAAAGGGAACATTAGGTAGGGTTTTCGGATGCAGGTAAGGATTTTGAGGGCAGCCCCTTTGCGTGGTGAACAGTCACAATTCGTTCAGCCCTCTGTTGCTTTCTGGCCCAAACAGGCTTTGCTTGTTTTTGAAAGAATATGAAGACCCTCCAAACCTATTTAGCACCAGCATGTAAGGATGGAGTATTAAAATAGTCGGGGAAAGAATCATAGAACTGTAGAATTGAAAGAGACTCTGAGGCTCATCTGGTCCAATCAACTGCAAAGCAGGAAGATGCAGCTGTCCCATACGGGGATTGAACCTGCAACCCTGGCGTTATCGGCGCCATGTTCTAACCAACTGAGCTATCCAGGCTCATTTCTCAGAGACAAGAATGGAACACATGAACACAGCATAAACGGTGATCTCTCTTTCAATTCTCACCTTCAATTCTCTGGTGGTTGTGGGGGTTGGGGAGAGACTAATGGGATGGATCCACATGAAGCTACACTTTGGTCCCAATGAAATGATTTTATTTATTTATTACATTTCTATACTGTCATAAAAAGATCACAGGGCAGTTTACAATATACCATATTTTTTGCTCTATAAGACTCACCTTTTCCCTCCTAAAAAGTAAGGAGAGATGTGTGTGCATCTTATGGAGCGAATGCAGGCTGCACAGCTATCCCAGAAGCCAGAACAGCAAGAGGGATTGCTGCTTTCACTGCACAGCGATCCCTCTTGCTGTTCTGGCTTCTGAGATTCAGATTTATTTTTTTCTTGTTTTCCTCCTCCAAAAACTGGGTGCGTCTTGTGGTCTGGTGCGTCTTATAGAGCGAAAAATACAGTGAAAACAATTCTGTACCAACCTATCACCATTTATTTACCAAAGCCAGGCTAAATGTATTTCCTCTGGAAGTGCTAAATGGTAGGCTGAGAGGCAACCCTTATCCGAACAGGCTTTGTTTATGTTTACAGGACGTTGATTGCATGAAGCATATCTTACTGCAATTGTGGGCAGTATGGGCAAGCAGGGACGCGGGTGGCGCTGTGAGTTAAACCACAGAAACTAGGACTTGCCGATCAGAAGGTCGGCAGTTCGAATCCCCACGACGGAGTGAACTCCCGTTGCTCGGTCCCTGCTCCTGCCCACCTAGCAGTTCGAAAGCATGTCAAAGTGCAAGTAGATAAATAGGTACCACTCTGGTGGGAAGGTAAACGGCGTTTCTGTGTGCTGCGCTGATTCGCCAGAAGCAGCTTAATCATGCTGGCCACATGACTCGGAAGCTGTACGCCGGCTCCCTCGGCCAATAAAGCGAGATGAGCGCCGCAACCCCAGAGTCAGCCACGACTGGACCTAATGGTCAGGGGTCCCTTTACCTTTACCTTTTATGGGCAAGCAAGGGATCAAACCCCTACTGGCAAATGTGCTGGGGAAATCTGAAGCCTCCCATATTAAATATCTTTTGGGTGACAGGTCTAATGATATTATGCTGGCCATGGCAAAGTTTCTTTTGGAAGTCAAAAGAAACAAAGACCATCAAGTTCGAAACAAAAGAAAATGACAGCCTCAGTTTCTCTCTCTTTTGTGGTTGACTGTCTTAACTATATTTTGTTCTGAAATTGTTCTATGGGTCTTTGGACCACAATAAAGATTTATTTATTATTATACCAAAACACAAAACTGCATTGCATACTAACAAACAAAACACTAACAACACACTACTCCACCCGCACACAGTTTAAAAGGCTGTAGATTGTTTAATAAGCCAAAGGCCTGGGAGAAGGTGGGTGCTTTTGCTTGGGACTTAAAGATATGTAATGAAGGCAACAGGCGAGTCTTCCTTGGGAAAGCATTCCACAAATGGGGAGCCACCGCAGAAAAGGCCCGTTCTCATGTTGCCACCCTCCGGACCTCTCATGTAAAGGTAAAGGTAAAGGGACCCCTGACCATTAGGTCCAATCGTGGACATTTACATGAGTAGAATGTGTCCTTGTCCATGGAGTTTTCTTGGCAGGGATTATGGTGCCAGAGGAGACTCTTGAGAGTCCCATGGACTGCAAGGAGATCAAACGTCTCCATTCTGAAGGAAATCAGCCCTGAGCGCTCACTGGAAGGACAGATCCTGAAGCTGAGGCTCCAATACTTTGAAGAGAAGAGAAGACTCCCTGGAAAACACCATGATGTTGGGAAAGATCAGGCTCACAAAGAAGGCCTTGGCTTATTATTGCAGGGTCCAGGTTGGTTCCTATGGGGAAAGGCGGTCCTTGAGGTACTACGGTCTTTAACCATTTAAGGGTTTGTAGGTCAGAACCAGCACTTTGAATTGGGCCTGGAAACTAATTGGCAGCCAGTGCGGTCAGACCAGGACCTGTGTAATATGATCAAACCGTCTTGTCCCCGTTGAGCAACCTATCTGCTGAATTTTGCACCAACTGAAGTTAGGAACCTGTTGATTTCAGTGGGAACTAAATGCGACTCACTTAATCTGGATCCATCCAATTGCCTTACAAGGGAAGCTTCCACACTAGCAGTTTAGTCTGGAATGAACATAATAAAACACTCAGTTTTTATGGGGAATCCAGACAGTGTCATTGTCAACTCATTGTATTCCTACTAAGTCCTCCTGAGATTTCCCAGGTCTCTTTGCCTTTAAGTTTCCTGTTCAGATTTCATTGCTTTCTGTCTACTCACAGGACAACCTATCTAAAGTGGGGGGGGGGCACTTCCACACTAGCTGTTAGCAGTGGCGTAGCGTGGGGGGTGCAGGGGGGACCGGCCGCACCGGGCGCAACATCTGGGGGTTATGGTTAGGGGGCACAAATCCACGGGTTAGGGGGCGCAAATCCACGGGTTAGTGGGCGCAAATTACTTGCCTTGCCCCGGGTGCTGACAACCCACGCTACGCCACTGGCTGTTAGCATATTTGCAGTATCCCAGGCACATATTTTTGTTGGGGCATCTGTACAACTTTCTGTTGTACAACTCCCAGTTTTCATCCACTGTTAATGCATCTTTTGTTTTTGTTTTAAAAAACCAGGCCAGACGTGCTAGGGCTAGCAGAGATGCGAAAACTTTTCTATTTCAAAGCAGAACTCTTAAGTTTTTGAAGACAGTTTTGACATTTCTTGGCGGGGTGCTCTATTGCCCCCACGGCCCGAGGAGCAAGGCGACACTTCCGGCGGGATCCCCACAGGAGCCCCGCAAAATTACACAGAGGCCTCGCACAATCTCGCAGGGCTCTTGCAAGATCTCGCCGGATCCTAGAAGCCGCTGACGTGCGAACCCAGAAAGGGGGAAGGGGGGAAGGGGGCAGTGGCACACAACCTGTGCAGCACATTCCTGTTTTGCCTCAGCCGGTGATATGGTACACACCTGCCTGTGTGCACAAGTCCCCCTCAGCAATTAATAAGGCAAGAAAGCAACTATGTGCTGGCGTGCAAATCCCTCCAACACCCACGGAAAGGAGCTATGCCTTGCCTGCCTCCCTGTCTGTGCCTGCTCGCTGTGGAGCTAGATTGCTCTGACACCTTCACCGGGACAGGGATCCCATGGAAGCTGGCGCCTACGTGGGGACGCCTGGTTGCACCCTCTCAGAATGTTGTGCCCGGGGCCACGACCCCTCTGGCTACGCCACTGAAGCTTGCTTTAAAACCTCTCCCCAATGCTCCAGCTTTGTATGTACAGTGGTACCTCGGGTTAAGTACTTAATTCGTTCCGGAGGTCCGTTCTTAACCTGAAACTGTTCTTAACCTGAAGCACCGCTTTAGCTAATGGGGCCTCCCGCTGCTGCCGCACCACCGGAGCACGATTTCTGTTCTCATCCTGAAGCAAAGTTCTTAACCCGCAGTACTATTTCTGGGTTAACTGTAACCTGAAGCGTATGTAACCTGAAGCGTATGTAACCCGAGGTACCACTGTACAGGGAGCAATTAACACGGGGAGCCCACCTTCCACTTCAAATGGTGCAGCCCAGTAGCAAGTTTCTACTCGTGTGCTTTAGCTGTCAACCTCTGAAGCAGAGGTAGACCGCAGAACGGAAATGAAAACTATCACAGCACAGCACAGCACAGCAGTATTCGTCTCCTACCTTTTGGCTGCCACGTGTTCACGCAAAACCGGGGCCCTTTCTTTCACATGGAGGTCTTGAAAAGAAGTCTGAACTTGGGCCTCCGCAAATATGCGAGATGCACGCCATTTCTTCCCCTTGGGTATTTCGACAAACGAGGTCTGGACCTGGGCTTCAGCAAACGCAGGAGCTTTCGACTTTTTCGCCACTTTAGACACTTGTTTTGGTTTCTTCCCTTCAGGTTTCGTCACCTCTGAAATCTCCACCTGGCTGTCTTCCAGCTTTGGGAATAAAGGCAAATCCTCGAGGTGAAGCTGAAGTTGGTCAGTTTGCTTTTGAACCTCGGCCTCCTCTCGTGTGGTCCATAATTCCAGCAATGTTTTTTCCATCGAAGCTCTTTTCTGCTCTGCGAGGTCAGAGTGCTGCTCCTCTGCGTACAGCGATGCAGGTGAGGGCGGTCGGACTGGGCTGGGAATTTCTGATGCGGCAGGAGATGCAGGAGTGTATGGTGGGACAGGAGAAACAGGAGGGTGGGAGGAAGCTGGAGAGGCAGCAGGGCGGGAGAGGGCAGGAGAGACAGTGCGAGAGAGGGCAGGAGAGACAGCAGTGCGAGAGTGGGAGGGAGAGGCAGTGCGAGAGAGGGCAGGAGAGACAGCAGTGCGAGAGTGGGAGGGAGAGGCAGTGCGAGAGAGGGCAGGAGAGACAGCAGTGCGAGAGTGGGCGGGAGAGACAGCGGTGCGAGAGTGGGCAGGAGAGACAGCGGTGCGAGAGTGGGCGGGAGAGACAGAAGTGCGAGAGAGGGCAGGAGAGACAGCAGTGCGAGAGTGGGCGGGAGAGACAGCAGTGCGAGAGAGGGCAGGAGATACAGCAGTGCGAGAGTGGGCGGGAGAGACAGCAGTGCGAGAGAGGGCAGGAGAGACAGCAGTGCGAGAGTGGGCGGGAGAGACAGCAGTTTGTGATGGAACAGGGCTCAAAGACGTGTGTGATGAGACAGGAGTTACAACTTTGGCACTTGCCAAACTGGTCTTGGAAGACTGCTCCTGCGCTTTGGGTAATTCTTCTGGCATCTGCATATCAGGCTGGGAGGTCTGGTCCTTGCTGCCACTTGGTGATGGGGGAAGTGACTTTGGAACATCCACTGGCTTAATCGTCTCGGGCATTTCAGGTAAGGAAGTTGGCTCCTTAGGTTCAATTGGGGGAGGAAATTCAGGAGCTGTATCTACTGAGTCAGGCATGGGTGACTGTATTGGGCTTTCAGCTTGTGATGGGAGAAGCACCTCCTTGGTGCCTTGTGGCAAATCTGCCAGGGAACTTTGCATCTCAGCGTCAGCTCGTTCTTTTTTCCGCCATATGTCAGAGAAGGAGGTTTGCACCTGGTTTTCCATTCTGCCTGGAGGAGCAGCCTCTTTTATCTCAACCACAGCTGGCTCGATTGGGCTTTCAGACTGTGGTAGGAGGGGCACTACCTTGGTGACCTGTGGCAAATCTCCCAGAGAACTTTGTATCTCAGCATCCGCTCGCTCTTTTTTCCGCCATATGTCAGAGAAGGAGGTTTGCATCTGGTTGTCAATTCTGCAAGCCGGAGGAGCCTCTTTTAACTCAACCACAGCTGGCTCAATTGGGCTTTCAGACTGTGGCAAATTTCCCAGGGAACTTTGCATTTTAGCATCCGCTCGTTCTTTTTTCCGCCATATGTCAGAGAAGGAGGTTTGCACCTGGTTGTCCATTCTGGTTGGAGGAGCAGCCTCTTTTATCTCAAGCTCAGGTGGGTCAATTGGGCTTTCAGACTGTGGTAGCAGAGGCACCTCCTTGGTGCCTTGTGGCAAATCTGCCAGGGAACTTTGCATCTCAGCATCCGCTCGCTCTTTTTTCCGCCATATGTCAGAGAAGGAGGTTTGCACCTGGTTTTCCATTCTGGCTGGAGGAACAGCCTCTTCTTTCTCAACCACAGCTGGCTCAGTTGGGCTTTCAGGTTGTGGTAGGAGGGGCACCACCTTGGTGACTTGTGGCAAATCTGCCAGGGAACTCTGCATCTTAGCATCCGCTCGTTCTTTTTTCCGCCATATGTCAGAGAAGGAGGTTTGCACCTGGTTGTCTATTCTGGTTGGAGGAGCACCTTCTTTTATCTCAAGCTCAGGTGGGTCAATTGGGCTTTCAGACTGTGGTAGCAGAGGCACCACCTTCGTGACTTGTGGCAAATCTGCTAAGGAACTTTGGATCTTAGCATCTGCTCGTTCTTTTTTCTGCCATATATCAGAGAAGGAGGTTTGCACCTGGTTGTCAATTCTGCAATCTGGAGCAGCCTCTTTTATCTCAAGCTCAGGTGTCTCAATTGGGCTTTCAGGCTGTGGTAGGAGGGGCACCACCTTGGTGACTTGTGGCAGATCTGCTAAGGAACTCTGCATCTTAGCATCCGCTCGCTCTTTTTTCCGCCATATGTCAGAGAAGGAGGTTTGCACCTGGTTTTCCATTCTGGCTGGAGAAGCAGCCTCTTCTTTCTCAACCACAGCTGGCTCAGTTGGGCTTTCAGGCTGTGGTAGGAGGGGCACCACCTTGGTGACTTGTGGCAAATCTGCTAAGGAACTTTGCATCTCAGCGTCCGCTCGTTCTTTTTTCCGCCATATGTCAGAGAAGGAGGTTTGCACCTGGTTTTCCATTCTAGCTGGAGGAGGAGCCTCCTTTATCTCAACCACAGCTGGCTCAATTGGGCTTTCAGACTGTGGTGGGAGAAAAGGCACAACCTTGTTGCCCTGTGGCAAATCTGCCAGGGAACTTTGCATCTCAGCGTCCACTCGTTCTTTCTTCCACCACCTGTCAGAGAAGGAGGTTTGCACCTGGTTGTCAAGTCTGCCTGGTAGAGGAGCCTCTTCCATCTCAAGCATAGGTGGCTCAATTGGGCTTTCAGACTGTGGTGGGAGAAAAGGTTCTTCCATGGGTTCTGGCACATCTATCCAAGAAGTTTGCTTCTGGGCATTATGGAGTTCTTTTGCCTTCCAGATGTCAAGGAGGGAGGTTTGCATCTGAGCATCCAGTAGGGCCGGTGGAGGAGACTGTTCTTCCTCAGGCATGAAGTACTCAGATGGGCTTTCAGACTGTGGTGAGAGAAAAGGATCTTCCACATCTGTTGGGAAATCCATCCAAGAAGTTTGGATCTGGGCATCATGGAGCTGTTTTGCCTTCCATATGTCAAGAAGGGAAGTTTGTGACTGGATGTCCTTTTGTGATGAGGGAAAAGCTTCTGATTCTTCCTCGTCAAATTCCAGTGAAGTTTGCTGCTGAACATCAGAATGCAAGCGTGATGAACGCCACGAGCTCCCCGCAGGTATTTCGACATTTGAGGTTTGCACCTCAGCACTGGTTGGTTGCGCCAGAGGAGGCTCTTTTTGTGCCTCTAGGAAATCAGAGATGGAGCGTCGTGCCTGAGTATCAGTCTCCACTTCAAAGTCACTTTGTAATGGGGTGAAATACGTTCTTTCAGGCTCCGTTAAGTCTGTCTCAGATGCCTTCTGCTGCATGTAGTCTTTTGATTTCCCCAGATCAAGAAAAGATGTCTGCACCAGCTTGTCAACCTGTTCAGTGGGAGAAGGCCTGATCCCTTGCTGTAGAATTTTGTCTACTGAAGTCTGTGTTTCAATATCCATTTGTTCCTTTGCTTTCCAAAAGTCAAAATCTGATGTTTGTGCGTGGCTATCAACTAGTAATGCGTGAGGGAACTCCTCTGTTTCAGCTTCATCGAAGCTGCAAGTCTGGTTCTGGGCTTCAGCTAACTCTCTTGCTCGCCATATTTCAAGCAAGGATGTTTGGGTCTGGTTAGCCTTCTGCAGTTGGGGAAAGGACTCCGCTTTTTCCACGGGTACTTTAAGCCCTGACGTCTGCACCTGAGCTTCGGATTGCAAACGTGATTCACGCCACTTGTTTCCATATGGTATTTCAACATGCGATGTTTGTACCTCACTGTCAATTGTTGGCTTCCAAAGAGGGTCTTTTTGAGAGGCTGAGGTCTGAACTTCTGGGAGTTCATGATACCATTTGCGGATCTGAGCTTCCATCACCTGTGGGGTAATAAGGTACTCCTTCCCTTCTGTTAAAGCTTCTTGATTATCATCGCCACCCTCAATCAATGACAAAGAAGAGTACTTTTGAAAATCAGTGTCTGATGCCCTCTTCTGGGGTTCAGCATGTGACATAGAAGCATAGCTTTGGAAATCACTGTCCAATATCTTCTCCGGAGTTTTTGCAAATGATGCAGAATGGGACTTTGGGAAATCAGTGTCTGAGGTCATCTCCTGGGGTTTGATATATGACGCAGAAGAGGACTTTCGGAAGAGAGTGTCTGTTGACCTATCTGACAAAAGTTTATTAATGAGTTCTACCTCAGATGTTTGAATCTGGGCCTCCTTGGTTGTTGACTTGGGAGATAACAACCTTGCCAGTTCATAATCTGAGGTCCTAAGCACTTGCGCCGAAGATGGACGCTTCTTCAGCAGCAGCTCATCACTTAAGATCTGGCCTTGGACCTCAGAGTTTGACCAAGAAGAAGCCTTCCTCAGTAATTCAGGACTTGAAGTTTGCATGTGGGGTTCACCCACTGACAGGGAGGAAGCTTTCTTTAGTAACTCGGCACGGGAAGCTGATTCCATGCTCTGAATCCGGGATAGCAAAGAAAGCTTCTTTAGCAGATCAATGGTGGAGGTTTGCACCTGTGCATCAGATTGTGGCTGTGATGAATGCAATTTCTTCCACTGCCGAAGCAATGTCTCAGATGTCTGCATAGCTCTTTCAGCCCGTTCAAAAGGCAGAGGTGCCTCTTCTATGGAAAAAAGGGATTCCACGTCTCCTGCTGTCTCCTCGCCTTTTCCTAACCCAAGCATTGGCCGTTGTTCGGTCATCGAAGCAAAGGACGTTTGCACCTGGGCCGCAGTATTTAACCGCGCAGAACGCCAGTCGTTGCCGGGCGGTATTTCCACAGGTATAGTTTGTACCCCAGTATCAATATATACGGGATATATCGTGCTTTGTTCTATCACTGATGACTGGGGTGATAGCTTACTCTGGGGCTCAGGGGAGGATGCATACTCTCTTTCTGACATGTAGTCCGAAAACGAAGTCTGCAACTGGATGTCTATCTCCGAAGGAACTCTTATGTCAAGATGTGAGGTCTGCACCTGGGCCTCAGATAACATGGGCAGAGAGGGAAACTTCTCCAACAACTCTAGATAGGAGGAAGAGGACTGGGCAGATCCTGCAAAAGATGCTACAGACCTCCTTTCTCGCAACGAGCTGAACGAGGTTTGGGCATGCATCTCCTTTTCTCCAGGTAACGAAAGCAAGGATGTTTGGACCTGAGCTTCCGCCTCTCTTGGCAATTCCATAAATGAAGTTTGCACTTGCGCATCGTTTTCTACTGGGGTTGGAGACCGCAGGGAGAGAAACGAAGTTTGCGCCTGGGCCTCCTTTCCTCTTGGCAGGCTCGAAAACGAGGTTTGGACCTGAACGTCCGCCTCGGATGACGTCTCTATCTCTGGAATGAGTACAGCCGTCCTTGAGGTTTGCTGCTCTACTTCTTTGTGTAATCGAGACCACCTCCACCTGTTTTCTTCTGGGATATCCACTTTAGAAGTTTGTATCTCATTCTCAACATACAAGCCATCTTCCTGTTTGGGGAAAGAAACAGTATGCATGTATGACCACCGACACCTTACATTCAAAATAAGAGTTGACTTACAAAGTTAAAGAGACACCCATTTTGCTGATAGGCAGGCAGGGGCCTGGTTTCTTAACCAGATGCATTACTTGAAAGCCCTTAGGATGGGTGAGAGAGGGGAAGAACATAGAGTGAGAAATTGGCAGCCCAACCTGACAGATGCATATTCTTGCTAGTTAGCATCAGAAGGGGCTAAGTCCACAGAGCCGTATTGCTGATAGGTAGATAGACCATAGAAATGCAATTGGTAGAGAGTATGCACACTATAGATATTCCCTCTCCCTGAGAAATCCTCTCTAGCTTCAGCCTTCATCCTCTACAACCCACTGTATGCTTTGCGGAAAGCCATGGCAATTAACCAGGCCTAAAACTGATGCAGTGGTAGAAAATTATATGAATATGATATATCAATGGTACCTAACACAGAGTAAAGGGGCAAAAATGTATAAATCTAAATCAAATAAGTGTTGGAAATGTAAAGAGAAAGAAGGTTCTTTTTATCATATGTGGTGGTCTTGTAATAAGGTTAAAGCTTACTGGTAAATGATATATAATGAATTGAAAAAGATGTTTAAAATAACATTTGTTTAAAAACAAAACAAAAAAAACACCCAGAAGCCTTCCTTTGGGGAATTATAGGGACAGAACTACCCACGCTGTAGAATGTTCCTTGCCCAAAAATGGAAAGAAGAAAAAGTCACAACAAAAGAAGAATGGATACAAAAACTTATGGGATATGCAGAAATGGCAAAACTTACCGGAAAAATAAGAAATCAAGATAACAAACTTTTTATAAAAGAATGAAAATGGTTTATTGGATATTTACAAATTAACTGTAAACAGATAAGAACATCGGCAGGATTATTGCAATAACCTGCAGTTTTATAATACAGTGTCATTGTGGGCAGGTGGGGAATCAATACTGTGTCACCTCCACAACTGAGACCATCAGCACACACCTGACTTCCGACAGTAAGCAGGATGTTGTCCTGCGATGGGGTGTGGGGTGTGTGGACATTAAGGACTGCAGTGTCTAATTTTGTGTTATGCCATGCCTCCCCCAGCCACGGTGTTTTACATTGCAACCCCACCCCACCCAGCCATGATGGCCATTTTGTAACTTCTCAAAATGGGCCAAAAAGGTTGGTGACCCCCCCCCCCGGTGCAACAAATCTTTTAAATCTCAAAGGTACCAGAAGATGCCTTGCCGTTTGTCCACCACAAATTAACACACCTCCCTCAAATGCGTTGGTATGAACAACTATATCTGTATACCACCTGAAACAAATGTTCTCTAAGCAGTCCATCTGAATTAGGGATGGCAATATAATGAAGATATAGAATGAATTACCGGGTCCTGGTCTGGCTCTATCTCTGAGGGGTCTGGTTCCGAGGGGTCTAGCTCTGACGGAGGCTTAAATTGCTCAGACGAAGAGATATTAAGGCTAAAAGACACAAGACAACAAATAATTTCAGGGCTTGTTGGACAGACAGCGATAGTAACCAAAACTTTAACATGTATTGACGGATGTGAAAATGTTTTCTTAAAGTGGGGGATAAGAGGGAACCGTAGTCATAGCCAGACCTATATATGTATTTTATATGATGCCCAAGTCAGAACAATTTCATCCATAAATGCAGGCCACCCAGAATTCCTCCAACTTGCCCTAGGCTCCTGATGACTCCCAGCAACACTGTTGGCCATCATTGGTGGAAAACCCACTATGTCTCTCTCTTACAAATGTAACTTCAACTTGTGCTAGGAAACCCAAATTGATTGCTAGTGTTCTTGCCTGCTATTGCAGACACACAACACACCACACAGAGGGCCTCAGTTTTACTGGGCTGTGTTTGCATTTTTGAGGTTGCACAAGCAGGTGTCACAATGAAGAGCAACACTTGCCTCAAATAAGTCACCTCCTTCAAGCATGCATTGTTCAGCTCCATTGTTCTCACCTTGGGTGAATAGTTTATGCAAAATATATGCAACTGGGTGACTTGCTCTTCAACAAGCTTTCCATACCCTACAGTGGGTATGAGTTTTAGCTTGCAAGCAGTTTGATGAAACCCATATACAGTGGTGCCTCGCAAGACGAAATTAATCCGTTCCGTGAGTCTCTTCGTCTTGCGGTTTTTTCATCTTGCGAAGCACGGCTATTAGCAGCTTAGCGGCTATTAGCGGCTTAGCGGCTATTAACGGCTTAGCGGCTATTAACGGCTTAGCGGCTTTAAGAAAAAGGAAACAAACTCGCAAGAACTCGCAAGACGTTTCGTCTTGCGAAGCAAGCCCATAGGGAAATTCATCTTGCGGAACGACTCAAAAAACGGAAAACCCTTTCGTCTAGCGAGTTTTTAGTCTTGCGAGGCATTCGTCTTGCGGGGCACCACTGTAATGGGTTGGTACATTCACTAAATTCCTGTTCTGTATCAATGAGACATACATCTCATGTCTGGGCCAAATGTCCAAAGGGCGTACATGGTTCCCTTGCGTTCACTAAGAAAAGGGAGATGTAGCTCACCATGTTGAAGACTGCGTTTCCGGTGGGCCAGTACAACAGAAAAATTTTCTCCAGCCTCCTATAAAAACAGACAGAAGTAAAAATAAGCTTTAGCCTGTGTTTCTCACAGGAATCCATCCTCAAAACCAGATAGGAACATATGATGTCCCTACCATCTGCCAAGGCTATAATAAAAACTAGGTTGTGGGATACTGAACACCAAGAACTTACAGCAGCAGCAGAGAAAACATGCTCCCCTCTTTATTTTCAACTTTCTTGGGCTCATGAAACTAACCATAATTACCTTGAATTTTTGCTTAACCCTCAAGAAAGAAGGGCATTTTCGCTGGCCAAGTTTAATTCAAATCCATCAGACCTCCTTTGGGGAAGGTTCTCAGGCAGGGTGGAAGGAGAAAGAACTTGCCCATGTGAAGACCACCTGGTGGAAACCCTTACACATATGGTTCTCAATTGTAAACTATATGCTGATCTCCGCCAGCAATTTCTAGATCAACTCTGCATCCCCAAATGGAAACCAGAGTTGGAGGTCATACATTTTTCTATTACTGGGGAATGATCAGGAGCTTACCAAGTTAGTGGCTAAATATCTCTAATACACTGCAGACATCTGATCTCCCTGGAGACCAAGAGGTGTGACGATAGACTGCTCTTTTAGCAAACGTTTTGTGCCACTGGGGAAGTGGCAATTCTGTATTGATTTGTTTTGGATGTTTGTATGTGATGCCAATAAAAGGTTTATTAATTAATTAAAATGAAGAACCTACTGGATCAGGCCAAGGGCCCATCTACTCCTGCATCCTGTTGTCACAGTGGCCAACCAGTTGCCTACCAGAAGAAGCCTGCAAGCATCACTTGAGCCCAACAGTCCCCTCCCCTCCTACGATTTCCCCCAAACTGGTATTCAGCCTCTGAAAGTGAAGGTAGATCATCGCCATCAGCTTTAGCAGCTACTGATAAGCCTTATCCTCCATGTATTTGTCTAATCCTAATGTTTTAAGACGTCCAAGTTGGTGCCCACTACTGTGTTCCATAGTTTAACTGTGTGCTGCATGAAGATGTCCTGGAGGCAGAGAGAGGTTTTCTCTCTCCTCCTCTTAAAAACCTTTTTAAAAGGAAGGGTAAGTGGCAATGCTGGTTGTGCTTCAGTCAGATTGCAACCCAACCACAGATCAGGAACACAGGGTAGGTGAATACCAATGAACAACAGGTTGTGCAGGGACAGGGAGCAAGCACACACGAGAAGTATCCCATGTACACAGAATGTTTTCAATGGCTAGTAATGGTTGGGGCAGAGGGAGAAAACTGTACAGTGGTACCTCAGGTTAAGTACTTATTTCGTTCCGGAGGTCCATTCTTAACCTGAAACTGTTCTTAACCTGAAGCACCACTTTAGCTAATGGGGCCTCCTGCTGCTGTCGTGCCACCAGGGCACAATTTCTGTTCTTATCCTGAAGCAAAGTTCTTAACCTGAAGCACTATTTCTTTATTAGCGGAGTGTGTAACCTGAAGCATATGTAACCCGAGGTACCACTGTATCAGAATGGTTTTTGGTTCAGGTGTATTAAAAATCCACACAGAGACCTTCAAATTCCAAAACAAACGTTTAGATTCCGTGCAACAAGAGAGACTCAAGAATATAAGACAGCCCTGTAAATATACGTTCTTTTCATTGTTAAAGAAGTTTGTGACAAAGTTTTAGAGTTGCTTATGAATCTTTTAAAGTTTGGAATACAAACTTTGCAACTGATTATGTATCTGTGGCCATAATACAATTTTTATAGAGTCAAAAGAAACAGATTTATTTGTCCTTTGGTTGTTCCTTTTGTTAAAAAAGAAACATAAAACTAACTCTTCACTAACACATGGATATAGACAATAGTGATAGAGAATGTCATCAGATCTGTTTTAACAGAAAAAGAGAACATTAAAATGAATTAGTGTGAATGCTTTCCTATGTTTGGGAAGAAATAACAACAGCTTCCTTGTGGGTCTATAAGCAATCCTCAAGTGTAACGTAGAACAAGTCTTCTTGGGAAATGTTATAGAGCTCTATAAATCAATATTTTTTACCTACTAGAATACAACAGATTTTACTTAATTGTAGCCCAAGGGGAAATAATTCAGGGTGCCAACATACTGTAAGCTCAGCTTTTATTTTCCAGGAAATTCTTCTTACAGGTGATTTCGAGATGACGTGTTTACTAAGCATTCAATCATTCTTATAGACATTTCCAAGGAGATTATGTGACAGTCATTATTATTGGGCGTTTATCAGATTTCTTTTCAGTTGAAGAATATAATGTCAAGCAATCATCCTTTACTTTCCTTGTTGTGGAAAGTCTGGGTGGTTCTTTTCTGGGGGAGTGGAGAAGAGGTGGGAAACAAGTTTGTTTCACAACCTGAATTTCCCTGTAGTGAGGGTCTGGATTAAGCAAGCCTCAGTCATGCCTATTAGAGTCTTCATATCCAGGAGCACACTAAATTCCCTTTATAGTAATCAGGTATCCGGGTGCCAATCCATATACAGTGGTACCTCGGTTTACAAACTTAATCCATTCCCCATTCCAGAAGAAGAAGAAGAAGAAGAAGAAGAAGAAGAAGAGGAGGAGGAGTTTGGATTTGATATCCCGCTTTATCACTACCCAAAGGAGTCTCAAAGCGACTAACATTCTCCTTTCCCTTCCTCCCCCACAACAAACACTCTGTGAGGTGAGTGCGGCTGAGAGACTTCAGAGAAGTGTGACTGGCCCAAGGTCACCCAGCAGCTGCATGTGGAGGAGCAGGGAAGCGAACCCGGTTCACCAGATTATGAGTCCACTGCTCTTAACCACTACACCACACTTAAACCGAAACCGTTCTTAAACTGAGGCACACTTTCCCTAATGAGGCCTTCTACCACCGGTGCCTTTCCACCGTTCAGATTCTGTTCTTAGACCGAGGCAAAGTTCCCGAACTGGGACACTATTTCCAGTTTTGTGGAGTTTGTAAACCAAATTGTTCATAAACAGGGCTGTTCTTAAACCGAGGTACCACTGTAGAAGGTAAAACAGCATCAACCATACACAATAACAAGCAGCAACAGGCTGGGTTGAACCTCAATATTTGCAGAAGTAGAAAAAAAATCCCTTTGGGGGGGTCCCCCCAAAACCCCAAAGAGAGCTATGTGTGCTTGGGGATCATGGGATGCTGATTTGACTGTTGGAAGGGCGGGGGGGGGACCAGAGAATTGGAGAGAACAAGAGAGAGCAGAAGAGGAGTAGAGGCACTCAAGGCAGCAACACTTTATTGCAGGTCTCACTTGGCCTTCTTAAAACCTACTTCAGCCGGCTACGGATGATGGGAGTTGTAGTCCAACAAACTGTGGCGTGGCGCTGTGGTCTAAACCACATAGCCTAGGGCTTGCCGATCAGAAGGTCGGCGGTTCGAATCCCCGCGATGGGGTGAGCTCCCGTTGCTCGGTCCCTACTCCTGCCAACCTAGCAGTTCGAAAGCACATCAAAGTGCAAGTAGATAAATAGGTACCACTCTGGCGGCGTTTCTGTGCACTGCTCTGGTTCACCAGAAGCGGCTTAGTCATGCTGGCCGCATGACCCGAAAGCTGTACGCTGGCTCCCTTGGCAAATAAAGCGAGATGAGCGCCGCAACCCCAGAGTCGTCCATGACTGGACCTAGTGGTCGGGGGTCCCTTTACCTTTACCTAACCAGTGGCCACCCAAAGTTCAGAAAGAGATACAGTGGTACCTCAGGTTAAGAACTTAATTTGTTCCGGAGATCCGTTCTTAACCTGAAAGTGTTCTTAACCTGAAGCACCACTTTAGCTAATGGGGCCTCCTGCTGCCTCCGCGCCGCCGGAGCACGTTTTCTGTTCTCATCCTGAAGCGAAGTTCTTAATCTGAGGTACTATTTCTGGGTTAGCGGAGTCTGTAACCTGAAGCGTCTGTAACCCGAGGTACCACTGTACTCAGGATTTCGCATGGTTTCTGCATGGTTTCTGCAGAGGTAGATTTCCTCTGAATATGGAGGCTCTACACAGGGCAATAACCCCCGACAGCTTTAACCCTAACATCTCCCTCGCCCCATTGAAAGACATGGGTTAAACCACAGAGCCTAGGACTTGCCAATCAGAAGGTCGGCGGTTCGAATCCCTGCGATGGGGTGAGCTCCCGTTGTTCAGTCCCAGCTCCTGCCAACCTAGCAGTTCGAAAGCACGTCAAAGTGCAAGTAGATAAATAGGTACCGCTCCGGCGGGAAGGTAAACGGCGTTTCTGTGCGCTGCTCTGGTTCGCCAGAAGCGGCTTAGGCATGCTGGCCACTTGACCCGGAAGCTGTACGCCGGCTCCCTCGGCCAATAAAGCGAGATGAGCTACTGGACCTAATGGTCAGGGGTCCCTTTATCTTTAAACGGGTATCCCCCCCCCTATTGAAAGACGCTCACCTCTTTTCTTCCCCATGTTTTGCACACCCAGTGTAGCCCCGCATGCAGTTGTTAACTCGGCAGCAGCCGGGCGTTGCTTGCTGCCGGCTCCCCCTTGGGCCCGACACTGAGCGCGCCCAGCATCCCGCCAGGAGACGGGCTCTGAGCGACGGCGGGCGTGACGTCACCCAGAGGCTTTTTGACGTCACGCGGGCAGGATTCCTCTGTTGCGCCCCGTCCTCCTCCTCCTCCTCGCAACTAAGCGCTGCTTCCCGTGGCGGATCCAGCTCCGTCGAAGAACGTGCGCTTTTGCAGCGCTCGCGTCCAGCAATTGCGGTGCAAAATTTGGTGGGGGAGAGACGGAAATCGAAGCCAGATCCAGTTCAAAATTCGGTTTGGCAAGGATTTCAACTGCCAAGCCCGGGCTTGGATTCAAGTTCGTGTGTCTGGCTGCAGCCCTCCCCCACCCACCTCCCTTACCTGGGAAGGACTAGATCCTGGCATCTTCGGATAAAAGGCAGCATAAAAGTTGAATCAAACAAATAAATACGCCTCCCTGTCTCTGAATTTTAGAATCCTAAACTTGCAGAGTTGGAAGGGACCCGCGAGTCGTGCAGGAATGAATCTGCCCTCAAGCGTCCCTGACAGGTGACCTGCTTAAAAACCTCCAGTGAGATTTCACTTTAATGGGATTTAACCTACGATTGCGCTTTCGGTTGCTTTGGCAAGGCAGCCCTACGGACGCACAAACACACCAGAGAGGACTAAGAAAATTCGTGGCCAGGAGAGAGCTATGGATGGCTACCTGCCCTCAGATCCTGTTGGTGGGTTGTCCCCTCGGGGCATCTGGTGGTTGGCCACTGGGAGAACAAGATGCTGGGCTAGATGAGGCCATTGGCCTCATCCAGCAAAGCTTTTCTTATATTCTTGTATGTTTCCGAGCACAATTCAAAGTGTTGGTGCTGACCTTTAAAGCCCTAAACGGCCTCGGTCTTGTATATGTGAAGGAGCGTCTCCACCCCCATCATCCAGCCCGGACACGGAGGTCCAGCTCCGAGGGCCTTCTGGCGGTTCCCTCGCTGCGAGAAGTGAAGTTACAGGGAATCAGGCAGAAGGCCTTCTCGGTGGTGGCACCTGCCCTGTGGAACGCCCTCCCTTCAGATGTCAAGGCACTAAACAACTATTTTACTTTTAAAAGACACCTGAAGGTGGCCCTATTTAGGGAAGTTTTTAATGTCTGACGCTGTACAGTGGTACCTCAGGTTACATACGCTTCAGCTTACATACGCTTCAGCTTACAGACTCCGCTAACCCAGAAATAGTACCTCAGGTTAAGAACTTTGCTTCAGGATGAGAACAGAAATCGTGCTCCAGCGGCGCGGCGGCAGCAGGAGGCCCCATTAGCTAAAGTGGTGCTTCAGGTTAAGAACAGACCTCCAGAACGAATGAAGTACTTAACCTGAGGTGCCACTGTATTGTTTTTGATATTTGGTTGGAAGCCGCCCAGAGTGGCTGGGGAGACCCAGCCAGATGGGCGGGGTATAAATATTATTATTATTATTATTATTATTATTATTATTATTATTATTATAGCGTCAAACTAGGACCTGGGGGAAACCTGGGTTCAAATTCCCACTCCGCCATAAAGCTCACTTGGGTGGCCTTGTGGGTCTGTGGCTGCCCTTCGGCCTAACCTATCTCACAGGGTCGTCTTGGGCACAAGATGGAGAGGAGGAGGAGGAGAACCAAGCACACCACCTTCAGCTCCTTTGGAGAGAAAGGTGGGGTGTGACTGGAATAAATATATAAACGGGCAAACCAGCGAGACAATTATTTGTATGGTTTTAATAGATTTTCTACAGTAAATGTGGGTTTGCTATATAAAACCTATTAAAACCGTACAAGTTGAGGAATTTATGCAGGGGTTCGGTTCTGGGGATTGTGCCTAGGCCCAAAATCGTGTCTAGTCAAACACATGGGGTGCAATAGCAGGTGGGATTGTCAAAGTGTTTGTCCCCCTGGGTGCCCACCTCATTTATTTATTTCTTTATTTGTTGGTTGGTTGGTTGGTTGGTTGGTTGGTTGGTTGGTTGGTTTGCCCATCCATCCGTCCATCCAATTGAATATTGATGATTTACAATACTATGTTGTTGTTGTTTAGTCATTTAAGTCGTGTCCGACTCTTCGTGACCCCATGGACCAGAGCACACCAGGCACTCCTGTCTTCCACTGCCTCCCGCAGTTCGGTCAGACTCATGCTGGTAGCTTCGAGAACACTGTCCAACCATCTCGTCCTCTGTTGTCCCCTTCTCCTTGTGCCCTCCATCTTTCCCAACATCAGGGTCTTTTCCAGGGAGTCTTCTCTTCTCATGAGGTGGCCAAAGTCTTGGAGCCTCAGTTTCAGGATCTGTCCTTCCAGTGAGCACTCAGGGCTGATTTTCTTCAGAATGGAGAGGTTTGATCTTCTTGCAGTCCATGGGACTCTCAGAGTCTCCTCCAGCACCAGAATTCAAAAGCATCAATACAATACTATACTACAGCATAAATTAGTAGAAATCCACAGAGAATTAACTCATAACTGAGAAATGCCTGTACTCTGTGAAGGGAAACATACTAGATTCTGCCGCAAGGAAATTCAAACTCACACAAAATATATTCACCCAGATCAGCACAATATACTCAAATATGACTAAAAGCTGCCAGATACGTCTGTTTTATCCCTAACCTTTTAATAAATCACATTTTGTGAATAATACATGATGGGGTGGCTTTGGAAGTTTTTGAGGCATAGCTCACTTGGTTAGAGCGTGGTGCTGATAATGCCAAGGTTGGAGGTTTGATCCCCGTATGGGACAACGGCATATTCCTGCCTTTCAGGGGGTTGGACTAGATGATCGTCAGGGTCCCTTCCACCTCTGCGATTCTATGATTCTTTCCCTATTTTAAAAATGAAAAGCGGCATGTCACTGAAAGCAGGGAGAGAGGAAGGGCCCGCTTCACCATTTACCTTCTTGCCAATTGTCCATTCAATATTGTTGTCCCAAGCTGCTATTGGGACGCGGGTGGCGCTGTGGGTTAAATCACTGAGCCTAGGGCTTGCTGATCAGAAGGTCGGCGGTTCAAATCCCAGCGACGGGGTGAGCGCCCGTTGCTTGGTCCCTGCTCCTCCCAGCCTAGCAGTTCAAAAGCACGTCAAAGTGCAAGTAGATAAATAGGTACCGTTCCGGCGGGAAGGGAAACGGCGTTTCCGTGCGCTGCTCTGGTTCTCCAGAAGCGGCTTAGTCATGCTGGCCACATCACCCAGAAACTGTACGCCGGCTCCCTTGGCCAATAAAGCAAGATGAGCGCCGCAACCCCAGAGTCAGCCACGACTGGACCTAATGGTCAGGGGTCCCTTTACCTTTACCTAAGCTGCTATTAGAAGCAGAATTGTGGAAGAAAACAAGAAATGAGGTATAGGAGAGGTTTATTGGTACATGATCAGAGTCTATCTCCGTGTGTGTGTGTGTGTGTGTGTGTGTGAGAGAGAGAGAGAGAGAGAGAGAGAGAGAGAGAGAGAGAGAGAGAGAGATTGCTTGTGCAAATCCTGAGATCTGGTCCGTCAGCACTGAATACTTTCCCAGAAACTACATACACATTTTTTCAAACATGTATCACAGAACCATCCATGTCAGCAACTTGCTTCTTCTCTTTAATTGTCTACCAAATGACAGGTGGGTTCGGTACGGAAGCACAGAACACGGGGCTTCAGATCTCCGTTCGGAATCGCAGCGTTGTGTCCGCCATTTTCCTCTTATAATCTTCATCAAATACCTCATTCTGAGCTACTGTAAAGTGATTTTTCCAGTCTCCAGCGATCCCTAGAAGAAAGAAGAATACGAATCAGATGTTGAGAGCTCTGGGTGGTAGATTAATCATCTGTTGTTTTAATCAGCAAAGATACGTTTTATTTGGTAAAAGCCAGTTTTATTCAGGCTGGGAGGTAATGGGCCACCTGTTTACTTTAGCTAGGATAGCTCAATAGGTACAACATGAGATTCTTAATCTTAGGGCTGTGGGTTCAAGCCTGAATCCATGAATTGCAGGGGGTTAGACTAGAATCAGATCAGGGGTCAGCAAACTTTTTCAGCAGGGGGCCGGACCATTGTCTCTCAGACCTTGTGGGGGGCCAGACAATATTGTTTTTGGAGGGGGGGAATGAATGAATTTCTATGCCCCACAAATAACCCAGAGATGCATTTTAAATAAAAGGACACATTTTTGTTGTTGTTTAGTCATTTAGTTGTGTCCGACTCTTCGTGACCCCATGGACCCAAGCACGCCAGGCCCTCCTGTCTTCCACTGCCTCCCGCAGTTTGGTCAAACTCATGCTGGTAGCTTCGAGAACACTGTCCAACCATCTCGTCCTCTGTCGTCCCCTTCTCCTTGTGCCCTCCATCTTTCCCAACATCAGGGTCTTTTCCAGGGAGTCTTCTCGTCTCATGAGGTGGCCAAAGTACTGGAGCCTCAGCTTCAGGATCTGTCCTTCCAGTGAGCACTCAGGGCTGATTTCCTTAAGAATGGAGAGGTTTGATCTTCTTGCAGTCCATGGGACTCTCAAGAGTCTCCTCCAGCACCATAATTCAAAAGCATCAATTCTTCGGCGATCAGCCTTCTTTATGGTCCAGCTCTCACTTCCATACATCACTACTGGGAAAACCATGGCTTTAACTATACGGACCTTCTCCCCACCACAGCGGTACTTATTTATCTACTTGCACTGGCATGCCTTCAAACTGCTAGGTTGGCAGAAGTTGGGACAGAGCAACGGGAGCTCACACCATTGCAGGGATTCAAACTGCTGACCTTCCAACTGGCAAGCCCAAGAGGCTCAGTGGTTTAGACCACAACGCCACCCGCTGTATGACCTACTAACTCTGGTGTATTATTCAGCATGGTGTATTATTCAGTATTATTCGGGCCTTAGTTTCAGTATTATTCGGGCCTTAGTTTGCCTACCCATGGACTAGATGACCCACATGGTCTCTTCTAACTATAGAGCAGAGGGCTACCATTGGATATTAGCCAATCCAATACCATTGGATATTAGCTATGCCCTACCCCCACAGTTTGGTGCTGGAGGACACTCTTGAGAGTCCCATGGACTGCAAGAAGATCAAACGTATCATTCTGAAGGAAATCAGCCCTGAGTGCTCACTGGAAGGACAGATCCTGAAGCTGAGGCTCCAGTACTTTGGCCACCTCATGAGAAGAGAAGACTCCCTGGAAAAGACCCTGATGCTGGGAAAGATGGAGGGCACAACGAGAAGGGGACGACGGAGGACGAGATGGTTGGACAGTGTTCTGGAAGCTACCAACATGAGTTTGACCAAACTGCGGGAGTCAGTGGAAGACAGGAGTGCCTGGCGTGCTCTGGTCCATGGGGTCACGAAGAGTCGGACACGACTAAACAACAACAACAAACCCCCACAGTTAGAGGCAGGAATGCTTCTGAATACCAGTTGCTGGAAATCTCAGAAGCAGGGAGTGCTGTTGTCCTCAGGTCCTGCGTTCAGGTTTCTTGCAGTCACCTGGCTGGCCACTGCAAGAACAGGATGCTGGGCCAATGGCCTAATCCAGCAGAACTCTTTTTCTGTATTTATGGCTTTTCCTTCTAGTACCAATATTGAGGTTTTGGTACTATTGTTCAGTTGAATTGGGGTGGTTAATTAATCAATAATAATAATCAAAAAAAACCTTAGTCTGTTATTGATCTGTTCATGATCCTAAATCATTAAGGAATGGTGGTCAGAGAGGACGATGCAAGCCTTTTACCTTTGCGCATAAATGGGGAGATGCTGTGGTCCATCACGGCAGCTGGAGCCATCCTATAGTTTGTGGCAGGATTGTCCTTCATCAGTTCAAAGGATGTGTTGTAGGCAATCTTATCCACAACAGAATCTTCCAGGTTCTTTCCCAAGAAATGTACCACTTTCTTTATCTCGCGCTTTGGGTCCTATGGGAAACGGTGTTGAAATAGATCAGCATTTTGATGGTTCTTGGATATTCAATGAAACAATTGTGCTTCCAATTCAGCAAGCTTTGCTGAATATATAAAATGAAGGACACCCATTATGTTTTTGCTGGACCCTTGGCCCGAGTCAGGAAGGCAATTCTTAAGATTTTGCACATTTTTAAAAACAAAAATTATACCGCATATAACCCCCTGCAAGATTTGCTTCTTCCAATATGTCACATAAAATAACCTCAGGGATGTATCCTCTTAGCTCCTACCTCTTTCATGTCTTCATAGAACAGGTATAGGATGGGATGGTCGTTCCTCTTATCCCACCAGCTTTTCACATGGTCATACCAGGATCCAAAAGCCACTAAATTTTGAGAAAGAGCAGAGAAGTGGAGAAATAATAGATGGTTTTTATATATTAAAAAAAAACCCTAACAAGTTGAATCTTGTAATAGAATACAAGGGCCTATTGGCTAAATTGTAAACTGAGAAGTCCCCAGGTCTAATCCTGTCTCAGTTACATATTTGCTAGGGGGCTTTAAACAAGCCACACTTTTCTCAGCCTCAACTCCCCATCTGCAAAATAGAGGGAATGATTCTGGCTCACTTCTCATGGTTGTCGTAAAGATCACTGAGAAAAACACACACAAGGCATTTTGAACACTCAAAAGGAGTTACACAAATGCCAAGTGTTGTTTTTATTCTCACAGTGATCTCAGCTTGTGGTAGCAGTAGTTTTTGACTAGCCACTGCTGCCTTATTCATTCAGTCATTCGTTTCATAAAACTTGCACACTGCTTGCTTCTGTTTCCACTGGCGTACTCAGGCCTGTGCGGGCTCTGATATTACTCCAGATCAGCTATTGGCACAACAGCATGAGAATAGATTGGCCAGGGGTGAGTTAGGCCAGGGGTTCTTAACATGTGGCCCACGGACCCTGTGAGCTTCAGGGGGGTCTGTGCACCGGACACAACAGGAAAAATGTTTGCCAGTGCAATAAAATTAAGTGCATGCAAAACTTTGTGTGTATGTATTTATAATTGCATTTTTTTCTGAAGAGATGGGGTCTGTAGTTTATATCAGATTCTCAAAGGGGCCTGTGCCCCCACTCCAAGGGTTAAGTATCACTGGTTAATTTCAGTCCACCATCATGTGTGTGGCCAGTTCCAGCTATGGCAACGTTACTTAAATCTTAAAGAAAACCAAGGCTAAAATGGTTGTGAGATCAGAACCTAATTCCGTTGACGTTCACTGTGCATTTCTGCATGAAGATGATGGATCAACATAGATCTGTAATCCACAGGTGCTGGATCTAATTCCTGTAGTCTTAACACCTGGATGGTGATGATGATGATGATAAGTATAATATAAACCACATATTCTTCTGCTTTGGCACACACAGAGTTTTCTCCTGGCTTTATAGCTTAAATGCCTGGAGTGCACCACCACTTAGGTCATTCTTTGAGATGCTGATGAGAGCACTTAACTGGCTAGCTATTAACCAAGGAACTGGTTTGAGCAGCATCTTCTAGTACAGGGGTCAGCAAGGTTTACCTCGCCTGAGCCGGTTCACTCCAGCCAAGATCCCTCTGTGGACCACATCACACGCGCACGTAAGTGCGCACCCACAATTTCCGGTGTCTGCTTCTGCGCAGACGCAATTTTCGGCATCGCAGAAGCGAGTCCCCGTGCTGCACTGCGCCAGTTTAGCACAGCGGGCAGGGACTTGCTGAGCAGGCAGCTCAGTTTGGGGGCATCTCGTGGGCCGATTAAATGCCCCTATGGGCTGCTTGTGGCCCATGGGCCTTAGGTTGCCTACCCCTGTTCTAGTAGATCAGGGGTTCCCAAACATTTTTCAAAGAGGGCCGGATTTGATGAAGTAAACATGCTGCGTGAGGGCTTTTGTTGAGCTTTTATTAGGATTTGACTGCCACAGGGGCTGGATAAAACTGACTGGCCAAGGGGCTGGATTAAGCCCCCAAAACAGACTTTGGGCATGCCTGTACAGTGGTACCTCAGGAGGTTAAGTACTTAATTCGTTCCAGAGGTCCGTACTTAACCTGAAACTGTTCTTAACCTGAAGGACCACTTTAGCTAATGGGGCCTCCTGCTGCTGCTGCACCGCCAGAGCACGATTTCTGTTCTCATCCTGAAGCAAAGTTCTTAACCTGAAGCACTATTTCTGGGTTAGCGGAGTCTGTAACCTGAAGCGTATGTAACCTGAAGCGTATGTAACCTGAGGTACCACTGTACTAGATTATAAAGCTCACTAAATGCAGGATCACAAGCTGAACTGACCCTCCACCCCCAAACCCATAACAATACTTTATGTTTCCTGGGAAAGTGAAAAGTTTAGCTACATACAGTGGCGAATGGATGGGCAGACTTGCCTCTTCCAGCCATGAATTCCTCCAGGTAGTTGTCCCAGGGACCTGGGTCTGGGTGCAGCTTGTTCATCAAGTCAAAGTGGTAAAAGGAGACAGCGACATCCTTTGCGTTGCGAGCCACGTAGATCATCTTCATAGAAGGGAAGCAGGGGGGGAAACACACAATCCAAATTGTACTGGTAGTTTTTCACCCTAGGTACGTCTAGACAGGTGGAATTTTTTTTGCAAAACTCTGAAACTAGCTGACTTGTGTTCTTTTTTTGCCTTATGTGAGTACCAATAACCCTCCCCTCCAGACAGACAGAGAGAAGAATCGTTGCTATTATTAATCACAAGCAGGAGACTAAGAACTGTGTGGGAATGAATTATTGATTGAGGAGAGGACTGGTGGAAACATTGGGGAATGAAAGGAAAGTTTTATGACGCAGTTAAAAATGGAGTTTCGTGAAGCAGGCCTGCTTAAGGAGGACGAGAGGGAGGAGGACTAGGGTCATTGGAATGTGAATGTATGGTTATCGGAACGTAATTTTGACCTGGCAGGTCCCTCTGAGATATAGATTTGCAAGCCTGTGAATCAGCGGACAGACTGTGGGAATGTTTTTAACGGAGGTGTGGAAATGGCGTCTGTCCTTTATGTGATATGATTTTTGGAGAGTGTAAAACCCACACAGGAGATGTTTGTCTTTCACCCGCTGGTGAAGATTATCAGAGATCACAAAGAAAGGAATATATGATAACAACAACAAGATGAAGAAAATAATAAAAAGACTATCTGGACAGAACTGGATAGAACTGTTTAATCAAAGCAGCAGCAAGAGTGATGTTTGGACCCCTTTCGGAGCTTGAAGTATGGGTACCCCCAACAAAAATTTTGAAAATCCGGCTGTATAATTTGGATTTAATGTGATTTGGAATTGATGTGATTTGATTGGCCTGTTAATAAAAATTATATTTAAAAAAGAAAAAGAAAAGAAACTAGATGACTTGTGGGATTGGTGCCCAGTAGGATTACCTTGCAGCCATTTTCCCAGAAGGACTTGGGAAGGAGGTCAATTGGGAGGTGGGTCTTCACCAGGCGAGGAGATGGCATCTGAGTTAATTGTTCTGTGCCTGGTGAGCAAAAGAGTGTTACTAGGTAATATGGTTGAACAATTGACCTGGGGCATGAAGGACAGTTGACTGTTCCTATCGGCCATCATTACCTAGCTGTGGCAGAAGAGGGAACTGTGGTGAGATCTGTGACCTGCGGGCCAAGGAAACTTCATTGCACCAGTAGGCTAAAGCAACTCAGGCAATGCGTGGATCACTAGAAAAAGCTTTCAGTATGGTAGTTGCGGGAAACCTTCACCCCATGCTCCCTGATGTTACAGAATCATAGAATTGTGCAGTGGGTCATCTGGTCCAACCCCTTGCGATTATCTGGAATATTCTGCTGCCCCATACAGGGACCGAACCTGCAACCTTGACATTATCAGCACCACGCTATAACCTGCGGAGCTATCCAGTTGCTGAACTATGACTCTTATCAGCCCGACAAAGCATGGACAATGGCCTGGCATGATGTGGTTCAGCAATATCTCATCTGGAGGGGCACAGATTCCCCACCCCTGTTCAATGATCTGAGAAACAAGGGAGCGTATTGTTACAGCCACACATACCCCAATCTCTGCGGAGGTTCCAGGCATTTACCCAGGGTTCAGTTTCCTTGGAATGAGGCACAGCGGAGACAGTGGTGTCTTTATTATATATGGTTTATTTATAGATGGTACCTCTGGCTGTGAACGGGATCCGTTTCGGAGCCCCGTTCGCATCCTGAAGTGAACGCAACCCGCATCCCCACGTCTGCACGTATGCAGGTTGCGATTCGCCGCTTCTGCGCATGCGCGTGACGTCATTTTGAACATCTGTGCATGCGTGAGTGGCGAAACCCAGAAGTAAGGCACTGTGGAGCGCAACCCGAAAATATTCATCCCAAAGCTACTTCAACCTGAGGTATGACTGTATATACAACCTGAGCCTAGGATGGGGGGCAGGGGGCTTCCAGCTTTAGACTCCGGGAGGATCCTGTCTCTCTCATGGCTGCCACGTTGGATTCAAACGGTCAGCCCCCATTGCACTGTGACCCACTCTTCTCCAGCTTGCAAACTGCTTCCCCAAACACAACTATTTCCCCTCTTGCTTACTGCAAATCTGAAACTCCCTCTCCCAACTCTGCATAGTCATTTGCAAACCAGCCATAGTCCAGGGTGCGACACCGCCCCGCCCCCCGCCGTGTTCCTTGAGGGGCCATCACCCTGTCTCTTGCACTCTCTCTTAATGGTCCATCTCTTAAAGGCGATTACTTCACAAGGAAGCCTGCCTGGTTTATTTGTTTTTTAACATGGCTTATACTTTAACATGGGATGTGGGTGGCGCTGTGGGCTAAACCACAGAGCCTAGGACTTGCCGATCAGAAGGTCGGCGCTTCGAATCCCCGCGGCGGGGTGAGCTCCCATTGCTCGGTCTCTGCTCCTGCCAACCTAGCAGCTCGAAAGCACGTCAAAGTCCAAGTAGATAAATAGGTACTGCTCCAGCAGGAAGCTAAACAGCGTTTCTGTGCACTGCTCTGGTTCGCCAGTAGCGGCTTAGTCATGCTGGCCACATGACCCGGAAGCTGTACGCCAGCTGCCTCGGCCAATAAAGCGAGATGAGCGCCGCAACCCCAGAGTCAGTCATGACTGGACCTAATGGTCAGGGGTCCCTTTACCTTTTTTTATGACTGCTTAAAGTGGCGTGATACTGCTTTAAATGCATAGCAATGGCGGCCTAACCATCCTAACGTCCTCCCTGCACCTGCTCCCACTTCTCTTTTTTCTCCCAGTTTGGGCGCCGGATGTTATGAAGAGGGAAAACCACCCTCAGAAAATTACGTGTGACCTAAACATATAAAATAGCCTCACTCACCTGCCGGAAATGCGGGTTTCTTTTATGTTCCCTTTCCTCAAGGCACGGAAGAGGAGCTTTGATCCTTGGCCAGAGATCAAGAAAAGATAGGAAAGGAGAAACCCAGAGGAAACTGCTTATTCCTCCACCCACTTTAATTTTTACCTGTTCACCTCGGATCTCTGAAATGCAAGTTCTCTCGGTAACTCGCACGCAGATTTACCTGGTGGCATCTTTCCTGGGGCAGCAAATTCCAGCATGGGCACTTTATTGAAAATTGCCCGCTTGCTTTTGTCGGGGTCGCCATCGTTCCTAATCAAGTCCACAATTTCACTCATCCACGTGGTGCCTGAAAACAAACATACAGAAACGAAAAGTAAGACAGGGAATTTTCTCAGAAGTCCAAATGGGCTGATACAGCTGCTGAAACATCTCCAGCCAATGCCTTAAGATCAATAAGGTAAAGGTAAAGGTACCCCTTCCCGTACGGGCCAGTCTTGACAGACTCTAGGGTTGTGCGCCCATCTCACTCAAGAGGCCGGGGGCCAGCGCTGTCCGGAGACACTTCCGGGTCACGTGGCCAGCGTGACATCGCTGCTCTGGCGAGCCAGAGCTGCACACGGAAACGCCATTTACCTTCCTTCTAGTAAGCGGTCCCTATTTATCTACTTGCACCCGGGGGTGCTTTCGAACTGCTAGGTTGGCAGGCGCTGGGACCGAACAATGGGAGCGCACCCCACCACGGGGATTCGAACCGCCGACCTTTCGATCGGCAAGCCCTAGGCGCTGAGGCTTTTACCCACAGCGCCACCCGAGTCCCTCTTAAGATCAATAGGGGTGTCCTAAGGCAGGCTTCCTCAACCTTGGGCCTCCAGATGTTTTGAGACTACAGTTCCCATCATTCCTGGCCACTGGTCCTGCTAGCTAGGGATCATGGGAGTTGTAGGCCAAAAACATCAGGAGGCCCAAGGTTGAGGTAGCCTGTCCTAAGGGACACAGGTGGTGCTGTGGGTTAAACCACAGAGCCTAGGACTTGCCAGTCAGAAGGTCGGCAGTTCGAATCCCCACAATGGGGTGAGCTCCCGTTGCTCGGTCCCTGCTCCTTCCAACCTAGTAGTTCGAAAGCACGTCAAAGTGCAAGTAGATAAATAGGTACCACTCCGGCGGGAAGGTAAACGGCGTTTCCGTGCACTGCTCTGGTTCGCCAGAAGCGGCTTAGTCATGCTGGCCACATGACCCAGAAGCTGTACGCTGGCTCCCTCGGCCAATAAAGCGAGATGAGCGCCGCAACCCCAGAGTCGGCCACGACTGGACCTAATGGTCAGGGTTCCCTTTACCTTTTATGCAGCCAGTGGGTTGTAGGGTGTGTTTTGTGGAACCCTTGAAAAGCTCCTAATAATTAAAATCTATTGACATGCATAGGTTACAGCCATGTAGCTCAACCCCGTATGTGCTTACTAGGGTGCAAGTCTCACTGTTTTCTTGTAGGGCTTGTTCAGCCATACATGACTCGAGCCACAGGCTCTCTATAGCAGGCATAGGCAAACTCCGGCCCTCCAGATGTTTGGGACTACAATTCCCATCATCCCTAGCTTACACGACCAGTGGTCAGGGATGATGGGAATTGTAGTCCCAAACATCTGGAGGGCCGGAGTTTGCCTATGCCTGCTCTATAGGGCACACTCTTCTTCAGGCATTCCCTAAATGTGTAAACACATGGGGGCAGGGCAGTGGGGACAAAATGGCAGCTTGGCGTCTTCTTGTGCATTCTTGTACAAGATGGCAGCCCCCTTACAGGCGAGCCTTCTGTACTACCTACACATTTCAGAAGCTGCCCTCCTAACTCACAGAGGGCAACGATGGCAGTCAATGGGTGCAGGGGTGCCAAGTTGAATAAAATATTGGGGTGGAGCCCAGGAAAGCCCCGTCCTGCATAATCGGTCACATGACGCAGTGCGCACGCACCATTTGAATGGCAATGCCCATCAACTTTGGTAGAGCTTGGCCCCCTCAAATATTTTATTGGGGAGGGGCTGAAAAATCCTTGGCCTCTAGGAGTTGGCTTCCTCTCATGGGCTTTGTGATATTCTGGTGTTTATAAATAATAGTGTGTCCGTGTAATAATATTAGAGTAATCAGGGCAAGTTAATAGGTGGGGTAAGTTTGTAGGAAAGTGAGATGCGGGGCAGGGCCTTCCTGGTGTCTGCTCCCAGACTCTGGAACTCCCTCCCTGAAGAAACTAGCCTGGCTCCCTCCTTGCTGTCCTTCCGGCGGCAGGTGAGGACTTCCTTGTTCCAACAGGCTTCTGGGAACTGACTACCACCGTTAGACACGCCAAGATGGGCCACACCAGACAGCGAATTTTGGGCGGTCATCGAAAGGCAGCTGATTGTCAACGCGGTCCTGTTCCCCACACAACGCTCACCCGATTTGGGGTACGTGGATATCACGATATCATCCGGCCTGCTCTGGAAACGGTCGATCCTGTCCCAGTCAAAGGAGAACGCGCAGACCATGGGGATGCCACGGACCATCTGCCAGTCTTTCCGAAGATAAGAATCTGGGCTGCCCATCTCTCAGGCAGTGCAGTCAAAATAAGAGAAGACGAGAGGACCACCTGCAAGACACTTTGCCGAATAAAATGCAGGAGGGGGGGAGAAGTGGAGCTACGGCTGAATCTTGGGGGTCAAAGTCCCCAAATGACCATCCAGAGAGGGACAGATGATGGGGCCAGTGGCAAACAGACCCAATGCCACCACTTAGGCCACTGTGGCCATGCTCTGCCCCCACCCCTCCGGAGTTTATTTTGGCCATTTATTTTCATTTTAAAGGTGTTATAGTACGGGAGCGAAAGGGGCGGGGCTGGCGCTGTGGGTCAAACCACAGAGCCTAGGACTTGTCGAACAGAAGGTCGGCGGTTCGAATCCCCACGACAGGGTGAGCTCTCGTTGCTCGGTCCCTGCTCCTGCCAACCTAGCAGTTCGAAAGCACGTCAAAAGTGTAAGTAGATCAATAGGTACCGCTCCAGCGGGAAGGTAAACGGTGTTTCTGTGCGCTGCTCTGGTTCGCCAGAAGCGGCTTAGTCATGCTGGCCACATGACCCGGAAGCTGTACGCCGGCTCCCTCGGCCAATAAAGCGAGATGTGCGCCTCAACCCCAGAGTTGGCCACAACAGAGAGTGAATATCAAGGCTTCCGCTTGTGCTTTGGGAGAATCATCTTATAGGATCAAAGGTGTTGGGAAGGGTGGGGCTGCTTGGGAGGTGCTCATGGGCCCAGTTTGAACCCCTGCCAGAGGTTCGCCAGTCTAAACTGAAATTTGCTGTGAAAACCTTGTGTAATACTGGACTTAACCGCAGCAGTAATGCATAGAGGTTCTCTCATCTATATACTGCTTTGGTTGGCAGAATTGGCACTCCTACAGGCACCACATAATATCCATTCTGCATTTTTAAGAACCCGGTTGTTTAGTTTGGCAGCACGTGAACTTTGGAACTCCCTGCCTATTGAGATTGAGCAGGTGTATTCACAGTTCTCTTCTCGGGACCTGCTAAAAAACCAGAACAGTGCACAGAAACGCTGTTTACCTTCCTGCCGGAGCGGTACCTGTTTATCTACTTGCACTGGTGTGCTTTCGAACTGCTAGGTTGGCAGGAGCAGGGACTGAGCAACGGATGCTCACTCTGTCACGGGGGTTCGAACCGCCGACCTTCTGATCGGCAAGCCCAAGAGGCTCAGTGGTTTAGACCACAGCGCCACCCGCGTCCCCTCAAGAGGTGTATAAACCTTATTGATTGATTGATTGATTGATTGATTGAATTTTAAAGATTTTAAGGACACGTTAAGCATATTACATACTGAACAACTAACGGTAAAACTATATATTAATCTCAACACATACAGCATTATAAAGCAATAAGATTTTCACAGAACAGCAACCGCTGTTCCAGCTAAAACTCAGCCTCTGCACATGGCAGAGTGCATAAACTTCAAGTGAGAGACAGCTCAAGAGAGAGTGAAGCGGCCAAAAAGAGGAAGTGAGTTTTTCAAAGATTTACGGACAAAAATATCGTCTCATCAGAACCAACTCAAGAGCAGCTCCACCTCTACACACTGACGTTATCTTTGAGCAGCAGTAGATCATTGCCAAAGCTTCTGCCTTCACAACCACGCCAGGCAGCAGACATTTTGACACCCGAGGCAAACCACAAAACAGTGTCCCTCCCTGGCAGGGATGATGGGCAAATGAAGATGTATACCAGGGACAAGGTGCGGAATCAAATCAACCACAGCAGGTGGCTGAAGTGGGAATCAAAGGCCCGCTTCGAATCATGTCAGACCACAGGAGACCCCAGAGAGCAGTTTCTGGGCTGGGGGGAGACCAGCAGCACCTCCTATTTGCCAAGAGGCTGCTGTAGAGACAACATCTGGAGCAGGGTGCCAAGGAGGCGGCAGATCCAGCCTCCAAGGCGTGCATGGATTGGCGGCACTAACAGGTGATGCATTCCTTGGAGGCTGGGTCTGCTGCCCCGTGGGTCCTGCCGCCTGAGGCGGTCACATCACCTTGCCTCATGGTGGGGACTGGCCCTGCCGGGAGGATCTGAACAACCAGTCAGCCAAAATTGCACCCCTGAATATTTCAAGTCACTCCTCATTAAAGAGTAGCCGAAAGATGCCCACCTCAAATTTGAATGTTCAGGCACCTCGTTCCTCTTTGCTTTTGCAGCTTTCAAAGGCAAACTTTCCTCCCAAACTTTTAACAACAATTCCAAATTGAAGCATTCCCCCTTCCTGCTCTGCCCCGCTCCGCCCTGTTTCAACAAGTTCCCAAACTTGGAGCCCTAATCGACTTTAGGAGAAAAACAAGCAGTTGTTTTCTGAAAAGCTGCGGCGTTATTTAGACGGACAAAAGGGGGGAAACGGAGGCTTACCTTTCCTCATAGACAGATGGTACTGCTGTAGTGGCAAAAGACAGCGAGTTGCCCAGGAGGTGGTGTGATTTTTTCACAGGGAAGGGTTTAGGGAGGCTTTCTTCACAAACAAAAGAAAATAAACCCTCGGGAACAAGGCCAAGGAAACCAAAGGTCTCAGTTGCCCAAACAGAGTGTGTGTCATGTGGGAGGGGTTGGGGAATGGAAGCTGGGCTCGATGCCAGCGGAGAAAGAATGTCCTCGGCTGAATAGCTTTGAAATAAAAAAAAGTTTGAAGGAGAAGTCTGAAAACAGCCAAGTTAAGCCGCATTCGAAGGGAAAAGAAATCCACTGGACTGGAAGGTGTTTAAAGGGTACTTGCAAAACCATATCGAAAAATCAGAACTCCTATTAGAAGAAACAAGTTCCGTTTCAAATTGTTGTTGTTGTTGTTTAGTCGTGTCCGACTCTTCGTGACCCCATGGACCAGAGCACGCCAGGCACCTCTGTCCTCCACTACCTCCCGCAGTTTGGTCAAACTCATGCTGGTAACCTCGAAAACACTATCCAACCATCTCGTCCTCTGTCACCCCCTTCTCCTTGTGCCCTCCATCTTTCCCAGCATCAGTGTCTTCTCCAGGGAGTCTTCTCTTCTCATGAGGTGGCCAAAGTACTGGAGCCTCAGCTTCACGATCTGTCCTTCCAGTGAGCACTCAGGGCTGATTTCCTTAAGAATGGAGAGGTTTGATCTTCTTGCAGTCCATGGGACTCTCAAGAGTCTCCTCCAGCACCATAATTCAAAAGAATCAATTCTTCGGCGATCAGCCTTCATTATGGTCCAGCTCTCACTTCCATAAATCACTACTGGGAAAACAAATACTAAATAAGATGGATAACAATGTGTAATAGAAAAAGAAGTCTGCAATTAGGTTAAAGGTGTGTGAAAGAAAGTAATAGAAGTGGAAAGAAATTGCAATTGAGTAGATTGGAAGTCTAACACAAAGGTGGGGTGAGGGGTGGTGGATGGTGATGGGAAAAGGAATTATCTGTGGGATTGAGTGTAGGTATGTTTGAACACTTTTAAGGATTGTATGAAATGTATGCTTGTATGCTTGTATATTTGCAATATCTGTGTATTAATGCTGAATTATTTTAACAATAAAAACTTTTCAAAAAGAAAAGAAATCCAAACGCCTCCCTTTGCTGCTCTTGGTTTTCAAGAGATCTGTCCTTCCTTCTTCCTAGTCAATGGTTCCCCCCCCCCCGACCTATATTTTCTGAACAAATACGATGCGTGGGCAAGGTTGCCAACTGCTGGTGATTCTGAACAGGACGCCAGAGTCAGCTTTGCTAGCCATGGTGCAACACCGCAGGGTTGTTGCAAACCAGGGACTGGGAGCCTGTGTCAGTGGTCAGGGATGATGGGAGTTGGGAATTGTTGTAAACAAAACTTGCCCTTTTCCCTTATGGGGTACCCAAGAGCCCATATAGAGTCCTTACATAGGTTCCCTATTGGTAGGAGAAAATAACAGAGGCCAACCACAGAATATTGAGAAGCAAAGCAGCTAGCAAGCTTGATCTTTATTGATCTGTTGCAACAGGGTGCTCCCCTCACAAACAGGAAAGGAGGAGGAACCCCGAACAAGGGCGCGCAAGGCCTTATATGGACTTTTGAAATTGTCACCCTGTAGAGCAAGACCACCCCCAGAAACTTCATACATACATCACAGAAGGGGTGTAACCTAAGACCACCCCTCAGATACATCACACCTACATCACAGAAAAGGCGGTCTAAAACAGAAATTTGAATGTTGTTTTTCTCCTGTCGTTGTTTATCTCCTGTCTGGCAGGTTACTTGATTGGATTGCCTGGGGAGCCTGGCCAGTCTTTTGTAATGATAAATACTTAGTTCCTGGGCCAGGTCACAGGCTCACACCCTATTCAAACACAGACATACCCTTAAGACAGGATTTTGTGAAGGAAAAGACAATGGGGAGTTTTTGCAGAGAAAACATTTGGTCAGTTTGGGAATCAAAAATGGTTCCAGGTTGGCCTTCCTGTGCTGATCTATGTACGTGCTTGGTTGGTACACTTATGAACATTACCATATATCTAAGACCTCAAAACTCCTATCACAGAATCCAAAAATGCCTGGCAAGGCCACAGTCCCTCACCCTGTTATAAACAAGCCAGAGCCTGGCCTGCAAAATTCACTATTTGCAACATTGCAGGGTGGCCGTAAGTAATTCGGTTCCAGCCACAGCCCTTCCAGTGTGAAATATGTGGGCGATGAACTGTATTGGCTCTGTTCTGCTGGTGTTTTAATGTCTCGTGCTAAAATAATAACAGTGTTAGAGAGACCAAGAACTTTCCCCTCTACTGCTACCTTTCGGATTTGTTTGTTTTTCAGGTGAGTAAGGGTGTACATAGGGACGCGGGTGGCGCTGTGGGTTAAACCACAGAGCCTAGGACTTGCCGATCAGAAGGTTGGTGGTTCGAATCCCCGCGATGGGGTGAGCTCCCGTTGCTCGGTCCCTGCTCCTGCCCACCTAGCTGTTCGAAGACACGTCAAAGTGCAAGTAGATAAATAGGTACCGCTCCAGCGGGAAGGTAACCGGCGTTTCCGTGCGCTGCTCTGGTTCTCCAGAAGCGGCTTAGTCATGCTGGCCACATGACTGTACGCCGTACACCGGCTCCCTCAGCTAATAAAGCAAGATGAGCGCCGCAACCCCAGAGTCGGCCACGACTGGACTTAATGGTCAGGGGTCCCTTTACCTTTTAAGGGTGTACATACAAGGGCCCAGTCCCTGCCGGATTAACAATTTGAATTTATCCATTCATTTCTGTGGGAAGCGCTCGCTTATGTTCCTGAGGATGCTTAGAAATAGGTTTTCCATGTGAACGAGGAATCAACCAAGACAACAGTGGTTTCTACACTTCGTTTCTCTGCTGGCATGTTCTGGTTACACCATTCCGTCCTTCCCTCAGAGGCTTAGCTATGGGTGGGGGGCTAGTCAGGGTTTTTTTTGCCTCGGGTGAAGTCTCCAGAGGGGTGCCATTGAGGCCCCCAGCCTGTGTGTGTGTGTGTGCCCACAAATGCATGTGTGTGCGTGCACACCAAACTGAGTCTTTGACCTGTGTGAAATAAAGCTTTTCAGGCATTCAGCTGAACATGTGAGGGTTCCAATTGTGTTTTCATTCGGGTGTGTGCATGATTCAGCCTCTGCCCCGCAATGTTCCCTGCACACTTGGGCTCCTCTCAGGCCATCGTAGGTTCAGAGCAAAGGTCTGCAAGGAGGTTTCTGCGCTCAGTCAGCTGCATACTGCGAAGTGTCTGAGCCATTGGGATTCCTGCCACATGAAAGGTCAAGAGAAGAGAGGGCATAGGGATTTTGAGAACAGGCCTTGCCTCTGTACATAGTTTTAACCCTCAAGGGTTCAAGTGAGCACTCAAAGAGAGCTTCAGCCTCTTAACAATCCATGCCATTGAGGTATTGCAGGTTCCTCCTCCTCAGGACTGGATTTAGGTTTGATGAGACCTTCAGCTCCTGAAGGTAACGGGGCCCTTTTTATGTCCAGCTATTCTCTCCTCCTGTTGTCAGGTATTTTTTGCCCTCTCAGTCTCTCATTATTATGTGCCATCAAGCTATTATGGGGCTAATTATGGGTTCCTCTGTGGGGGGTTTTCTGTGGCATTTAAAAAAAAATGTGCACATATCTCAGGGTTACCCTGAATCTGTTGATACATCTTTTCTGTGCAGCGTGTCATGATGGCTGCCTAAGCATGAAAAGACACAACTTGGTATCAGCACATATGGGCAAGTGGGACCATGTGACAAAATGTGCTGGGATGCTCCCGTTCAGGGTTCAAGCCACCCCATTCCACCTCTCCTCCCTTTGGTTTTTCACCCTCCCATTGGTCAGTATGCCATGCCTTCTGAGCATGCTCACTGGGCTGTCTGAGTTTCTTCATCTCCATTTTAGTTTCAGTGGACGCTCCTGCCCGATCCCAGCTACACTCAATTGTTTAATTCCTCCGTTGTTGGTTATGGGCAGGTGAACCAGCCATTCCATTCTATTTCCCCTCTCCCCTCCCACCCAGTCATGAGGGTTTCCGACAGCAGTTTGATGCGCACACTTCACCAGTTGTTTGTTGGCATCCGTCTGTCTCGAGAGATAATGGAGTGTGCCTCTGTGGAAGAAAACCCTTGTTTTAGGAGCCAAAGAGCAAGTCATGGTGGCTTTCTGTCTAGTCAGCTAGCAACGTTCATCAACCATGATGGTGACAAAGCCATTTATTGAAATACCAAATGTGATGGTTCTAGGGGTTGCTCGTGCGTAAGCCGGTGCCCACACCTGGCTGGGTTGCCTGAGTGAACCTTTCCCGTCCGGACAGCCACTCACCCGTGGCTGTCTCAGTCGCTGGCAGAATCTGTCAGTGGGCGTTTCTTAAACTTCTTCCAGCAAAGAAACTCTGACGCCTAGTCTCCTCCTACTCTCCCTGCGCGGAAGCCTTCTGTGCAAGGAGGGCGTAGGCATAGGAGGACCCTTCCTCTCCCCGCTGGTCCCCAGCAAGGAGTCATGGGACCGCCTCGCCGCTTCCCCCATCTGCCCCCCTTCTCCACTGGAGCTGAGCTGATTCCCTTCCCCAGAAGATGGGCTGCCTCTCCCAATCCTGGGACGCTCTCTGGGATCCCTCTGGAGCTTGCTCTCTCCCTCCAGCACTGATGGCAGTTCCCTGACACCAAATACCGTATTTTTCGCTCCATAAGACACACCTGACCATAAGACGCACCTAGTTTTTAGAGCAGGAAAACAAGAAAAAAAAATCTGAATCAAATGTTGTACTAAACTATTTAAAACAGCAAAGCAGGTGGCTCCTGTCCGCATTGCTGCTTTAAAGCGAGCCACGGTATATAATGAAGAGAATGGGGAAAGGATAGACATTCCATTAAAATGTAGCTGTTTTCATGATCACTGGGAAGTCAGTATTGGCAGCCGTCACATAAACTAAAATTTGAGCATTTTACCGTTATTGATCAAGAATGGAGTCAGGGAGAGAAACCAGGGCTGTGCAAACGAGAAGTGCTTGGAGTATGGAGGAACAGCAAAGAGATCAAATGATTGCGCTTCAGTTCCTAAATCTGTGACGTTTTCTCAAAACAGGCATGGTTCTTTTGAAAGGAAGATTCAAAATGGAGTGACTGATCAAAGAACAGAGGAGGAAAAGAGGGCAGATAAATAGCTTCCATTCAATACCAAGAGAACACAATGTTTTTGGTTTGGTATAGGTGGACTGTACTTGTAAGAATTTGTATAATGAATTATAGATTTCGAGTGGAATATCAGTGCCTCTTTTCAGCAAGAAAGATTAGCTGCTAGAACATGGTCCACACACAAACACACAAGATGTCTGGTTATAGTTGTGCAGTTTAAACTGTTCCTGAGCCAGATGCCTGCTCAGTTTTAGCTGAGCTCACTATTACTGGTTCGTGGAGATGCTATGCATGTATTTATGACTAGTTCCGCAAAACTGCTACTTGAAGAAACCCCCAAACTTTATGTTTTTTAACTTCAAATGGAGCTCAGAATCCAGTTAGGCAATCAAGCCTTTGCAGTTGAATTGGGAGGCACTGAGAGATGGCAAATTTGCTTTAAAGCAGCAAAGCTGGACAGGAGCGTGGCTCCCCACCCCACCCCAAGAGCAGCCCAGGAGCGCGGGGCAATGGTGCACAGCCAGCCCGCTGCTCCCAAACCTTCCCGGAGCTTCAGGGGAAAGAGGAGGCTGCCAGCAGAGCAGTGTGGCTCCCTCCCCCACCTCCAAAGAGTAGCCCAGGAGCGTGCCGCACTTGGGCGATTTGGTTCCTGGACCACACATTCGATCCATAAGACGCACGGACATTTCCCCTTACTTTTTAGGAGGAAAAAAGTGTGTCTTATGGAGCGAAAAATACGGTAGCCTAAACCAGGGGAGTCCAACTTCCAAGAGCAGCGATCTACTCATACTGTAAATAAACTGGCAGTGATCTACCTATTGGATTGACTCATAGCTGTCAATTTACAGATTTGAAAATAAGGGACCAGCAGCCTTGAAAATAAGAGACCAGCAGCCAAAATAAGGGACCTGCAGCCTCACCTGTTCCAGGCACGCCAGTCTTCCTGTCCTCCTGCAGTCTGGTCAAACTCATGCTGGTAGCTTCGAGAACACTGTCCAACCAACTTTGTAACCAGAGGTTCAACTGAATAGAATCTGAATCACATGCACCACAAGGCCTATGCAGCCTCAACTTAAGATGGCTCCCCAGCCTGGCTTTGCACTGCAAAGTTTGCAGCAGCACGTGCAACAAAATGGCATCCAGCATTCAAAAAACCCCTCAGCTTGCATTAACTAGCCACACACAAGGCATGCAAGCTCCACCCCCCAGTCGTTGTTAGACTTCTTATTGGGTGAGCAACACAGCCAAGCAACACAGTTGGAGCCTCCCTCCTCCCTGGCCGGCAGGGAGGGAGGGAGAGGAGCTGCTTCCTTTGAAATTTAAGGGACATCATTTAAGGGACATTTAAGGGACATCCATCAATAAGGGACAGCAGTGGAACATGGCGCTGGAATAAAGGACTTCAAATAAGGGACACTTGACAGCTATGGATTGACTAAAGTTGTTGAGCTTTTTTGGGGAGCCACAGTTGTTGAGCTCCCTAAAGAAAGTTTTTTTGGGGGGGAGCTGAGGGTCCAATGATCAACCAGAATCGACCAGGGACACCCCATGAACAACCAGTAGATCACGATCAACCTGTTGGGCAGCCCTGCCCTAAATGATGACATTGAGAAGACACTTCAGGCAAGGAACCATTCTGACTGTCTCCTTGAGATGCCAGAACAATGCCTCAGGCCACCGGGGCTGAGGAAATGTTATAGCTGGCCAAGTGTGATGTGCCAAACAGCGTAAGCAAATATACTTTGTACGGTAATTACAGAAGCACCTGGTCTGAAAGAGGGAGGACTTTATTGGAAACAAAAGTCAACTAAGCATGGGGAGTGAAAACAAGATAAAGGCCACTCCTTCGGGACTCTCTCTGAAGCAGTTGCATAAAAGTCAGAAGTCCAAGAGGCAGAGTTGTAGTCGGGTCAGGCAGAGAGCCAAAGTCCAGGGGAGCAAGCGTAGATCAGAACGGACAGAGGCAGGGACTTTGCAAAGGTCAGGCAAATGGTTAGCTCTGAGGAAGGAGCCGTCCGAGGGACGAGACGCAAGCTGCAGGATTCTTTGTGGCTCTTCTTATTGACGAGTTGTTGAGGAACCTAGTCTGAAGGAATGGTTCTATGAGGCAAACCTATTGGCTCCTCAGGACAACTAAGCTGCTGAGATGCAATGACTTCTTCTGGGCCATTATCTGTTACAGTGGTGCCTCGCAAGACGAAATTAATCCGTTCTGCGAGTCTCTTCGTCTTGCGGTTTTTTCGTCTTGCGAAGCACGGCTATTAGCGGCTTAGCGGCTATTAGCGGCTTAGCGGCTTTAAGAAAAAGGAAACAAACTCGCAAGAACTCGCAAGACGTTTCGTCTTGCGGAACGACTCAAAAAACGGAAAACCCTTTCGTCTAGCGAGTTTTTCGTCTTGCAAGGCATTCGTCTTGCGGGGCACCACTGTACACGGAAATTACGGAGGGGGGGCACATCTTTAAAGTTAAATGTTACAAATATTATGCCCGAATGTATCCTTTCAACTTGACAGCTCAGGGAAGTTACCTAGCTTTAAAAATAATATAAAATCAACTCCTTTGCCAGTTTCTGCCATTCCAAAGCTATTTTCCCCTTGAAAAAGGACTCCAGGAAGTTCCTAGAGGTGACAATTGTTAGCCAAGGGAAGCCAAATCTCATCACCTGACTTGCCTCAGGCTCCAGACATGCAAAGGAAGTTCTATTGTACTTTTGGGTGGTGGTTACTTTAGACATGCTAATCTTATACCTGAGTCTTGCCCTGCCATATCTGCTTATGCTAATCTTGTACCAAGGACTTGTCTGGACATGTTTGCCAAGGTTAAGCCCTCCCCTTTTGTGACATGTCAGTGATGTAGCAATGATGTAGCAATGATGCTGTATGAACTGTATTCTGGGATATGGTGGGAAAGTTTTAAAACTCTTTGTCACCCCATCCTCAGGGTTCAAAATTCCTCTTTGAACCTGTGGCGCAATAAACTGATCTACAGCTGTTTGCTCCGGTTGGTGGCTGGACTCCTTCCTTTATTCCGCAGGGACCCGCGGGCTCTGCCCGACCAGCTGGGTGACTGAGCAGCCTCACACCTAGATTTTTCCGTAACAATCTGGGTAGTGCTAAAGCACAGCAAATCTCAAATTAATCATTGTGGGAGCAGGGCTGAGAGCAGAGAAGCCAGTGGTTTTCACCCCGCTGTAGAAAAAAATGTTTGTCCCTTAGATCTCCGTTCGAAAAAGCAAGGTAGATCCCTTCATTTTCTCCGCATAATCCTCATCAAATCTCTCGTTCTGAGCTACGGTGAATTGGTTTTTCCAGTCACCTGCAATCCCTGTGGAGAAGGAAACCAAAAAATCACTAGGTGACCATCATAAGGCTTATGTTCTATTCTGCAGATAACCATCAGCGCTGTAATCATTCTAGCCCAGAGCTAGGTACATTTCAGACCATCGAAATCAAAGTTTTGCGTAGGTTTTGACCCAGATAGCATGGGCACAAACCATTTGCTGGCAGGGTGGGTCAAACAATTCCATTTCCCAGCGCTTGAGACAATTTGCTTTTCTTCAGTAGAAGTAGCTAATAATAGCTAACATTAAAGAGCCACAGTTATTTCTCTTTTTTTTTTTAAGGGGGGGAAGGGGGAGGGAATTGGGAGCAAAGCAATACTTAAAGATTTCACTCACTGCAGCGAATATAAACTGGCATTGGGGAACAACAGACAGCCCTTTCATAGGACATGGTGGCTTTTAAAATGAACTGGTAAGACCTGCAAAGAGGAAGCGTTTCATTTTAAAGCACCGGATTCCTGAAAAGCCTTAAAAATGCTTTGGGCTAGTCTACACTGACCTCGGGCCCCACACTTTCTAGACACAGGTTCACACATTCAAGCTCCATGTCTGAGCACTTCTCTCTCTCTTTTGCCCAGCTGCTTTCCCCAGGAAAACCCGCTCTTTAGCGCTGAATCGGAACAAAGAGCAATTCAGGTCTTCATAGAATCATAGAGTTGGAATAGACCACAAGGGCCATCGAGTCCAACGCCCTGTCAAGCAGGAAGCAGGTCTTCTGTGGATTGCAGTTTTCTCTGATTCAGCAGTAAAGAGCTGGTTTTCGCTAGGAAAGCGCTGGGGCAAAGAAGAAGAAGAAGAAGTAGAAGAAGAAGAAGAAGAAGAAGAAGAAGAAGAGGAGGAGGAGGAGGAGGAGGAGGAGGAGGAGGAAGGAAGGAAGGAAGGAAGGAAGGAAGGAAGGAAGGAAGGAAGGAAGGAAGGAAAGAAAAGAAAAGAAAGTGAGCCCTCACTAAAGAAGACTGGCAACTAAAATTAATGGAATATGCCGAAATGGCTAAATTAACTGGAAGACTTAGAAATCAAGAAGACAACAAATATAAAAAAAGAATGGAAAATATTGATTGCATATGCACAAAAGCATTGTAAGGAAGTTAATACAGTAGCAGGTTTTTAAAAACACTTGTAACATTAAGGAGAATGTTTAAATTTGGAGATAATTAAAGATAAGGAAATTATTGACATGTATAAATTAAGATAATATAAAAGAACCCGGGGAGGGAATGGAGGGATCTGAGGGATCCCTAAATGTGGATTTAATATTGTGTGAAAATGTTTTATTTTCTATTTTTTGTGTGTGTGATGATAATGTTTAACTGCAAAAATTAATTTAAATTTTTTTTGAAAAAAATGCACGTGTTGTATATGCACGGAAAACTATTACATTTATTACTGTAAGTATTTACATATCTTATGTACAAGAATTCTAACTTTTGTATCTATTGAGAACTTGAAAATGTGACGTGAAGAAACTCAGCATAATATTAAAATACAGTGGTACCTCAGGTTACATACGTTTCAGGTTACAGACTCTGCTAACCCAGAAATAGTGCTTCAGGTTAAGAACTTTGCTTCAGGATAAGAACAGAAATCGTGCAGCAGCGGCAGCAGGAGGCCCCATTAGCTAAAGTGGTGCTTCAGGTTAAGAACAGTTTCAGCTTAAGAATGGACCTCCGGAACGAATTAAGTACTTAACCTGAGGTACCACTGTAATCTAAAAGGTGTAAGGATCTTAAATTACCAATTTTTAAAACTATTGTTCTGTTGTTGTTTTTTTAAAAAAATCTCTGGTCCCGATTAACGATTTGTGGGAAGCTGATTGTTGCGAGGTCATATTGCATATATAAAGGAGACTGACCTTTTCTCATGAAAGGAGACACGCTGTGGTCCATTTGGTCACCTGGCATCATGGTATAGTTTGAAGTGGGGTTCTTTTGCATCTCCTTGAACGACGTATGGTGAAGAATTTTATTCACCACTTCCTCTGACACCTCCTTTCCCAGAAACCGAATCACCTTCTGTACTTCACGCTTGGGGTCCTGCAAAAAGAGAGGCAGCGGATGCTTCCTGACTGTCAGTCTTTTGGGGTGGGATTCAGAGTGACCGACTCTGGGGTTGCGGAGCTCATCTCGCTTTATTGGCCAAGGGAGCCGGCGTAAAGTTTCCACGTCATGTGGCCAGCATGACTAAGCCGCTTCTGGCGAACCAGAGCAGCGCACGGAAATGCCGTTTACCTTCCCGCCGGAGTGGTACCTATTTATCTACTTGCACTTTGACATGCTTTCGAACTGCTAGGTTGGCAGGAGCAGGGACCGAGCAACGGACGCTCTCCCCGTCACAGGGAATCGAACCGCCGACCTTCTGATCGGCAAGTCCTAGGCTCTGTCAGCAAATTTAGGTTTTGACATTATTATCTGGTTGGGAGTTCTTACGCAACAAACCCAAAAGATCAGACTTTTGGTAATGAGCAAAAATGACTGGAAAATGCACTAGGGAGTGTGGGATAACACTTGTTTTGATGAAAGACCATCTCAATTCCTAGGAAGCAAATAAGAATAAATGCTCATTAAATAGCCAAACGTGTTGTCTGCTTTCCCTAAAAAGAAATCACCAGGAATGCTCAGTAAACAGGCTGTCTGGGACCATCATGCCTTTAGCATCCAAGGTTTCACACACCTCCTTCATGTCTTCATAGAAGAGATACAGTATATTAGGGTGGGTAGTCTTCTGCTCCCACCATCCTTTTACATGGTCGTACCAGGATCCAAAAGCCACTACAAAGGGAGAGAGAGACGGGCAAATGCTTCTTTTAAAACTCGGATAACAAAAAATTTAAAAGAATACAGACAGAATATCAAAAATCAATGGTCAAATGCTACTAAGAAGTACCATATTTTTCGCTCTATAGGACGCACTTTTTCCCCTCCAAAAATTAAGGGGAAATGTGTGTGCGTCCTATAGAGCGAATGCAGGATGCGCGGCTAAGCCCAAAGCCAGAACAGGGAGACAGAGCGCTGCGCAGCGCTCTGTCTCGCTGTTCTAGCTTGGGGTTAGCTGCACAAAGCCTCCGCAGAGCAGCGGAGTGTCTTCACCCTGCTGCCCTGCGGAGGCTACGAAGGTTGTACGAAGGTGGGGGGAAGGCTGCAACGCTTCCCCCCACCGCCAGCCCCACAAGCTCGAGGGGCAGCGGGAAGGCGGAGCGCCGCCTTCCCCCTGCTCCCCGACCTGGTCTTTGGGGCTGGTGGTGGGGGAAAGCAGAGCTTCCACCCTGCCAGCCCCAAAGAGCAGGTCGAAAGGAACCCAAACCCTCTGGCCAGCTGGAACTCCTGGGCACAGAACGCACAGAACACACCTTGTTTTAGAGTTTAGAGGGGGTGAGAAAAAAAAAATTCCCTGTTCTTCCCCTCCTATGGTCCGGTGCGTCCTATAGAGCGAAAAATACGGTAAGTCCGATTGAACAAGTGGACCTTGCTTCTGCATGGGCTCTGACTAGATGAGATGGAGGGAGTTCTGCACAATATTTGTTTTCTTTCTTAATTCTTCCATCTTTGCACATACCACAGAGGCTACCTTTCTATTGCAGATATATCACATTTGCTAAACCCCGAGGGTACTATACAGTGGTACCTTGGTTCTCAAACTTAATCCATTCCAGAAGTCTGTTCCAAAACCAAAGCGTTCCAAAACCAAGGAGCGCTTTCCCATAGAAAGTAATGCAAAACGGATTAGCCCGTTCCAGACTTTTAAAAACAGCAATTTAACATGAATTTTATTATCTAACAAGACCATAGATCCATAAAATGAAAGCAATAATCAATGTACTGTACTATAAAATAAATAAAAGAGTATTGTAGATGATAAAAATTAAAATAATTTTTCTTCTTACCTGCACTGATGATAGTCATTGTTTGGATGGGGGGCTTTTTATCCATTTCCACAGTCACTCAATCAATCAATCAATCAATCAATCAATAGCTGAACTGGGATCCACACAGTCACAAAAACAAATTAATTGAAAAAGACGCAAAACAAAAAACGCCAAATAAATAGCAAAAACAAAAGCGCCAAATATAAGCTCCAAATATCACCTCAGAACACTGCAACCAGAAAAAGAAGGCTTGAATTACGATGGGGGGGGGGACACACAAATTAGCAGCGCAACAGGAAACACAGGGGGACTCAAAACTGAGCAAGTTCAGCTTCTGAAAGAAAGTTCGAAAACCGGAACACCTACTTCCGGTTTTGCAGCGTTCAGGTTCCAAGCTGTTTGTGAACTAGGCTGTTTGAAAACCGAGGTACCGCTGTATTTTGAATGGCAAATATGTGCAAAGCCACATTCCTAGTTATATGCAGTTCATATTTGGACTTCCGTTGCCTGTATATGAGCAGCAGTTGTGTTGAAAGGCCATTATTGTTTTGTGTCCTGCTTACCACAAACATTGAGGGCAACTCTATCCTTCAGATTTTAAGGGGTTCAACAGTCTCCCCCTCCTCTATGGGGGCCTTTGATATTTTTATTCCCTGGCTGGAGGGGGAGGGGAAAACCTATTAGACCCTAAAAGAGAATTTTTGGGACCATAGCACACACTTCCTTTTAAAATGTGCATCTCTCCCATATCACATGTGAAAGGAAGGAAATTTACAGTGAAAAGGTGTCTGTCGGCAAGGAGATACTAACCCCTTCATCAGAGGTGGTTTTTGGGTAGCGCAATTGGGCACTGCGCTGAAGGGGGCACCACAACAATGTTATGGAATGAAGTGGGGAGGCACCCAATTTGAGCATCGCGCAGGGTGTGGCTGAACTCTGAGAGCCCAAAGTCTGCCATCGCCTTCCTGATTTTCATCCTAAATCACTGTACCTCCACCCCTGTCTTACACATGATGGGAACAGACCTGCCCTTAAGACAGGAGCCTGCCGTTTGGCCCTCAACAACTTAAGTAAAGGTAAAGGCTGACCATTAGGTCCAGTCGTGGCCGACTCTGGGGTTGCGGCGCTCATCTCGCTTTATTGGCCGAGGGAGCCAGCGTACAGCTTCTGGGTCATGTGGCCAGCAGGACTAAGCCGCTTCTGGCGAACCAGAGCAGCGCACGGAAACGCCGTTTACCTTCCCGCCAGAGTGGTACCTATTTATCTACTTGCACTTTGACGTGCTTTCGAACTGCTAGGTGGGCAGGAGCAGGGACTGAGCAATGGGAGCTCATCCCCGTCGCGGGGATTCGAACCGCCAACCTTCTGATCGGCAAGTCCTAGGCTCTGTGGTTTAACCCACAGGGCCACCTGTGTCCCTCCCAACAACAACTTACCAGACTACAAATCCCAGGATTCTTTGGGGGGCACCATGACTGTTTAAGAAGAACAAAACTTTTGCCTAACTAAGGACCAAGAGAAGGTCCACGGGTTGTGCTCAGAAATGAAATGTTCTTTCCAAGTTCTACCTTCCCCCGCCACAAATTTCCCGAGAAACTCATCCCAGGTTCCAGGTTCTGGGTGCATCTTTGCCATCTTGTAGAAGTGGTAATAAGAGACAGCTACATCCTTGGCATTCCTGGCCACATAGATCATCTGTAGGAATGAACATTGAGTGTTTCTGTTAACCGCGGTTTTGTCCAAATTTGCAAAATGTACATTTGAAAAACTGATCCTTTTCTTGAAAGTCTGAAATTTAAAAAATAAGTTCTATGATCTGTACACCCCATTCCTCATTCTTAAATAAATTCATAACGAACTTACTAACTTATAAAAAGGTAAGGCTGCATTTTATGGAATGACATTTTACCCAAATTTCAAAAACATTCCCTTTCTCTTTCACCACTGGTGCACACTGTCTGTATTGGCAGGCATGAATGCTCCCTCCATACCTGTGTGAAGTGCCCTGACTATCAAAGTTGACAGATCTGTGAGGTAAATATGGGACCAATAAAGGTAAAGGTACCCCTGCCCGTACGGGCCAGTCTTGCCAGACTCTAGGGTTGTGCGCTCATCTCACTCAAGAGGCCGGGGGCCAGCGCTGTCCGGAGACACTTCCGGGTCATGTGGCCAGCGTGACAAGCTGCATCTGGCGAGCCAGAGCCGCACACAGAAACGCCGTTTACCTTCCCGCTGGTAAGCGGTCCCTATTTATCTACTTGCACCCGGGGGTGCTTTCGAACTGCTAGGTTGGCAGGCGCTGGGACCGAACGACGGGAGCGCACCCCGCCGCGGGGATTCGAACCGCCGACCTTTCGATCGGCAAGCCCTAGGCACTGAGGCTTTTACCCACAGCGCCACCCGCGTCCATAATGAATAATAATGAACTTACTAACTTATAAAAAGGTAAGGCTGCATTTTATGGAATGACATTTTACCCAAATTTCAAAAACATTCCCTTTCTCTTTCACCACTGGTGCACACTGTCTGTATTGGCAGGGAAGAATGCTCCCTCCATACCTGTGTGAAGTGCCCTGACTATCAAAGTTGACAGATCTGTGAGGTAAATATGGGACCAATACAAGCAGTCATATGCCTCTTTGATACATGATGAAAGATCCCATCTGAAAGGTCCACTAGGTAATTTGGGAAGGTTGATAAGTTGGAGACTTTCCATGACTATACAATCATTAGACCAAATGAAGAATAAACTAGACCTTGAACCTCCTACACATTCATGTTCCAGTACATGCAAATTCTACCTTTCCTAAGTAGGTTTAGCAAAAGTCAACAGTTTTGGAGTGGAAAGAACGAATATGAAATATTATTAGATGTCAACAATGTACATAATGAGACAACAGTACACAAATACATAATAACATGGAATAAAGATATAAATATTGGAATCTCACAAGATGTATGGCTATTTTTGTTTCAAACAAATGTAAAATCGTTTCAGTTCCTCAAGTGCAACATCTTATGAGAATTGTATAAAGATGGCAGCCCAATGGCAGTGGACTCCATGGAAAAGCAAGTCAGGAGATGGAAGGTAGATATGTCAAGAGCCAAAAGGGGACTAATAATGTATTTCTTATACCCTGCGCATCTGACTAGGTTGCCCAGGCCACTCTGGCAGACTTCCCACAAAAATACAGGAACAACTGCAGCAAGAACAACCTCAATAATGAAAAGCTTCCCGAAACAATGTGTATGAAAAATTATATAGTTGTTTATCTCCTTGACACCTGCTGGGAGGGCATTCCACAGGGCGGGTGTGACTACCAAAAAAGCCTGGTTTCCCTGTAGTTTCACTTCTTGCAGTGAGGGAACCACCAGGAGACTTGGCACTGGAACTCAGTGTCCGGTCTGAACAATGGGGGTGGAGACGCTCCTTCAGGTATACAGGACTCCTTGATCCTTCAAAGAATCAAATCCAAGGCTGAGGCAAATTCAGAGATGGTTCAATCAGAATGCGTAGTCAGGCAAAAGTAAGCATTAGTGTATCCTAATGAAATGTAGATTTATTTTACCTTGCAACCATTTTCCCAAAAGGACTCAGGGACAAGTTGCACTGGGAGGTGAGTCTTAACTAGTCGCGGAGAAGGTATCTCAGCAAGTTGTTCTACACCTTGAAAACATAGAGAAAATAATTAAAGTGGGCAGGGGACAAAAACGTTTGAAAAAATAATTTCTTCTGGTCTGATCTAGAGATGCACCTGAATTCTTGCACAGGTGGAATTTGTCAGTGAATTTGTGGGTCTACCCATGAAGAAGAAGAAGAAGAAGAAGAAGAAGAAGAAGAAGAAGAAGAAGAAGAAGAAGAAGAAGAAGAAGAAGAATAGTAGTTTGGATTTGATATCCCGCCTTTCACTCCCTTTAAGGAGTCTCAAAGCGGCTAACATTCTCCTTTCCCTTCCTCCCCCACAACAAACACTCTGTGAGGTGAGTGCGGCTGAGAGACTTCAAAGAAGTGTGACTGGCCCAAGGTCACCCAGCAGCTGCATGTGGAGGAGCGGAGATGCGAACCCGGTTCACCAGATTACGAGACTACCGCTCTTAACCACTACACCACACTGGCTCTCACCACATGGAGACTTGCCCAGCTAAAACAGGTTATGTACCAATGACAGAGGCTCTAACATCCCAATAACTGCACAGAGCTCACCTGTTACAAGAAGGATACCTGCCTGTTGCTTTTTTAAGAAAATATTTTTTATTGATTTTTCCATGTATACTTCTTCTAACAATATATCTTTGACAATTTTTCATATTTCCACCCTCCTCCCCTGGACTTCCCTCATACTAGCGTTTTGCTTTATTTCCATATTGTTCACCCTGCGTATTGTTTCCCAAAGTTTTCCCAATACATATAGTCTTATTTTTTGTTGCATACAGTTGTGATTGCTTACTCAAACCCTGCCAATGAATCCATTTATTTATGTTGCCTCTTCGTGTAATTTCACTGTATACAAGTTGAACAAAAGTCTTTGTTCTGTCTTGGAAGACGGAAGAAATACCAACGAAAGAACAATGGCAAGGGAAACTTATGGAATATGCAGAACTGGCAGAACTAACAGAAAAACTACATGGAAAGGACAACAAAGACTTTTGGGGAACCATTTACAACATATATTTGAAATACTTTATTGTCACTTGTTCAACTTGTAATACAGCAAAGGCTTTACCATTAATAATGTCAGGAATAATCAGCTCCATGAAAGGAACACGATTGAAAATGGCATCTCGTTTACACTTTTCCACATCTGCATCGTTGTAAATCATGTCCAGAATCTCACTGACCCAGGTTGTGCCTGAAAATGTAAATGCATGTGCAAATTAGATAAAATTACCCACAGAGCATAAGGTATCAGCTGGGTTTGTAAAATGGGTATACGTAGATTGTGGGCACTGCACACAAGCTTAGAAGGGAGTCCCTTAAAATCAGCTGATTAATACAGAAAAGGAATACAGAAAAAATTGTTTTAATTCAAACTGAATGCAGAACTCAGCTTCCTGTGAAGCTTAGCTATCGTTAAAAACAAAGAAAGAAACAAAATCTATCCTTTAGAGTTGCGAAGATATGCTTGAAGCTTCCTGTGAAATTCCTCTGAAGTTCTGGAACTGCCTCTGATGACGGTCCAAATTCTGATGCAGAATTCAGTGGCCAGGTTGCTCACCAGGGCAAGACAGTTTGAGCATATAGTTGTGAGCATTAGAGGCCCATTTGCAAATAGTAAACTCAGTCCTTTACAGCAGAATGCAGCAATCTTGCTTCGACTGCACTGGCTGCCAATTAGTTTCCAGGCCCAATTCAATACGCTGGTTTTGACCTATAAAGCCTTAAAACGGCTCCGGGCTGCAATACCTCAAGGACCTTTTCTGCCCATATGAACGGACTTGGCTCCTACATTCATCATCTGCGGCCTTTTTTTATGTGCCTCCTCCATGAGAGGGTGGCAAGATGAGAACTGGCCTTTTCTGAGGTGGCCCCGTTTGTGGAATGCTCTATCCCCAGGGAGCCTCGCCTGGCTCCTTTGTAACATATTTTTAGGCACCAGGCAAAAACATCCCTCTTCTCGCAGGCCCTTGTTCAATTAAACAAATCTAGGGACTTTTGATCTGGAGGCGGGCATTGGTTTTGTTTGTAACTATGCTTTGCAGGTGCTGACCTTTAAAGCCCTAAATGGCCTCGGTCCTGTATACCTGAAGGAGCGTCTCCACCCGCATCGTTCAGCCCGGACACTGAGATCCAGCACCGAGGGCCTTCTGGCAGTTCCCTCATTGTGAGAAGTGAAGTTACAGGGAACCAGACAGAGGGCCTTCTCGGTAGTGGCGCCCACCCTGTGGAACGCCCTCCCATCAGATGTCAAGGAAATAAGCAGCTATCCTATTTTTAAAAGACATCTGAAGGCAGCCCTGTTTAGGGAAGTTTTTAATATTTAATGCTGTATTGTTTTTAACACTCAATTGGGAGCTACCCAGAGTGGCTGGGGAAACTCAGCCAGATGGGCGGGGTATAAATAATAAATTATTATTAGGGCAGCAGATAGAAAGCTAATGTTGCCATTCTTTTTTTTATGTCAGAAGAAAGTTCTGGCATGAGCACAAACAGTTCCAGCCTCAGGCCATAAGGTCTGCTATTCCAAACCCTGGAGCCCCTGACAATTAACATAACTTTGGCACAAAAGAAGGAGCTGCCATCCATCAAGGGATTCTTATAGATTAATCCAGTGGGAGAAGACAGCTCAACATGGCATGGAAGCGACCTTGCATGGTCATCATGTGTACCATGGGCGAAGATGTAGCCGTCTGACAACTGCCAGTCACATATTCTCATTTGACGTGGCAATCTCACAAACACTGCCAGGATTTCTGGCAGAAGTGCATATTTTTCAAGCAACATTTTGCAGCGTGTAACTAGACTGAATCCCACTCCTGCAGATGTCCCAATTCCCTGCAACAGATAAGCAGTCGTTGTGCATTCTGTGCATTAAATCCAGGGAAGCCCTTAGGCACAGGCACCTGATTTTGGGTAGGTGGCAATCAGAAGATCATCTTTCTTGGCCTGGAAGTTCTCCACCTGGCTCCATGCCTCAGCGATGCTCCAGAACAAGGCAACACCATGAACATCTACCAGTTGCCGCCTGAAGATACCTTCTTTCGACTCCATCCTGTGGCAAGGAAGAAGAGGAAGAAGTAGCAAAGAGCAACAGCTTACATGTGTATGAAGCTTTCGTTTCTTATTGATTTCAGTAATGGACATATTGCATATTCCAAAACTATCTAAAACACAGCAACATTGCAGTGGTTCAACATAGACAATTTTTTTCTGTTATCAGTGAAAGAAACGGGCTTGAAACGTATCGGTAACTCGTCTCCCAATTACATAGGTGTTTTGAATTGTGGAAATTAGAGCACGGTATTGATTTTATGGATTTTCACAGCCAAAGGTACACCTTAGGTATGAAATCCTTTGTTGGCAATACACGGAAGGATTATCTGCAATGAATATGTCCCACCGAATAGAAAAGAAAAGAAAACCATTGTGATGTAAAGAATATTATGGAGTTGAAATCCCTAGCAGCTGTGAATAATCTTGTGCACAGAAATCTGGCAGACTCATACTTTGTGGTGGCTTAAGGTGCCCTTCATAATGTCAGGAGGTGTTGGTTTCCACTGACATCATTGTTTACTTAATGATAGGAGAGGACCCTGGAGATTAGCACACTCCAGAAGCGGCACATTAATGAGACTCTCGGCTACGGCAAGGTTTTATTAATCCATGTTTACAACCGCCCATGGAATTTGGGCAAGGGGAATTTCACAAATTATATGGAGGCAAACCCCTGGATTTGCCACCAAAGGTACCCCCAGAGCAACAACCAACCAAACTCTTTATATACCGCTCCCGTGTCAAGTGGCCTTAAAACCTATAATAAGGGCTTTGTAATTGCAGGGTTATAAAAAACAAAATAAGCTTCTGGGCTGCTTGAACCTCTGCCCATTTGAGGGCCGGACTAGATAAGACATGGGAGATTTGTGAATAGACTCTTCTGATATCTTGTTTGTTTAAGTGTCAGTAACAGCAAGGAGGTTATTTGGATTAGGGATATAGCTCTGGGAAAGCAGAACTTTAATTTCTGCCCCAGGTGTCGCCACCCCTTCTTAAATCCCCCCACAACTGCTACTTGCAGAGGCAAAGGATACAGGTAGCCAGTGGCCCCCCAGAAGTTATGGGATGCCAGCTGCTATCCGCCTTAGCAAGCATGGCCAATGGCCAGGGAGCTGTGGTTCAGTAACATTTGGGGAGCCAATGTTTCCTCAGCTCTGTTCTAGGAGAATGGCTGGATTATTTCCAGAGATGAGAACTGTTAAATTGTGGGTGAACATATCAGACGACACAGTGATTCTTCAAACAGCTCTTGTTTGTTCACAGGCCAGGCCAGAACTGAACTGAAGGGTTCAGCCAGCCTGCTTATATAGAGCTCTAGTACAACGTAACTGTAACAACTTTCTGTAACTATCCAATCACTGAACGTCACTTTCGATCCCTTATTTGCATATGTGGACCTAAACTATCTACAGTATCCCCATGCTGGCCCAGGGTGAGAACTTCAGTACATAACAAGAACAGAAATTGACACCAACCGTTCTGAAATTACACTACTGATTTGTCTTTCCTCTCTCCAAAGTTGGTGATGCTGGCTTCTACTTGTCTCCATGCCATATCATGGATACCATTGCAGCAGTGCTGTGGAGAAGCTCCTGTGTGGAGCAAGAAAATGAGCCCCGTACGTGGCGAACCTGCCCAAAATGCATACGTCAAAATAAATTATTTCTGTGTCGCAGAGGTCCAAAATGTAACACCTGAATTGCCTGGAATCAGGCAAGGACCAGAATTTCATTTGGGCAGAGGAAAGAAAGGCACACAACTGAATTGCTTCTCTCCCACAGCTCTGTTGTGCTCCTGTAGAGATCAAACCTGTGGGGATTATCTCTTGCATAACGATGTTATCCAATGCTGTTTTATCCCCTTGTTCAAGGGGAGCAAGTTACGCCGTGTACACACGGTACATTTAAAACATATTGTTTCTTGCAAAGAATCATGGGAGCTGTAAGTTACCCCTCACAGAGCTACAACTCCCAGCATGCCTAGCAAACAACATTGGGGGGAAATAAAGTGCATTAAGGTAAAAGGTAAAGGACCCCTGGACGGTTAAGTCCAGTCAAAGGTGACTATGGGGTTGCGGCACTCATCTCGCTTTCAGGCTGAGGGAGCCAGCGTTTGTCTACAGACAGCTTTCCGGGTCATGTGGCCAGCATGACTAAACCGCTTCTGGCAAACCAGAGCAGTGCATGGAAACGCCGTTTACCTTCCCACCGGAGTGGTACCTACTTATCTACTTGCACTTGACATGCTTTTGAACTGCCAGGTGGGCAGGAGCAGGGACCGAACAACGGGAGCTCACCCCGTCACGGGGATTCGAACTGCTGACCTTCCGATTGGCAAGCCCTAGGCTCTGTGGTTTAGACCACAGCGCCACCCGCGCTCAGTTGATAGGAAATTGATAGGAAAGCTGTCATTGCCCTGACAACAGATGAAAAACTGTGGGTGGAGACAGGGCTGGATTTAGATTTGATGTGGCCCTAAGTTACTGAAGGTAATGGGGCCCTTTATATCCAGCTGTCCTTTGTCAACAACAAATTGTCACTGTTTTTGTGTGTTGAATATATGCTATATGGTAATTTATGGAGCTAATAGGTATCTAAAGCCATTTGCACATAACAAAATATGTATTTTATCAAAGTAATTGTTGAACTGAAATACAATTAATAAGAAGTATATTAATAGTGAAATACAATTAAGAAGAAGTATATTAATAGCGATAGTGATATTTTAGGGAACAGGCTAGCATTGCTTACTTCATAGGAGCCTACACAACACAAAACTCTGTTGCTGTGTGGAGGTTTTATTTTATTTGTTTTTTATCTTATATTTTGGAAATGTACATCCAGGTTTAGTGGGGCCCTAAGCTATAGCTTGTTTAGCTTATACGTAAATCTGGCACTGGGTGGAGGGAGTAAGCTCTGCAATGCTCAAGTCTCTTGCTCCATCAGCCTTAAGGAGATGATCTTGAGTAAGATATATATGGTGATACAAACAAAAATAACTCACTGTCTCCATGACTAAACTGGTGAGCAATCAGTTGTTTGGGAAACGACATGCCCGCTACTACGAATTTGTGTTGTCATCGATATCTAGATGGAACCTGTTTCTAAAGCCACCTTCAGCTGAGTTGCAGCCACATAAGCCTAGCCTCTCCGCTAGTGGCAGCCACCCTCCAACCCCCAGAAAGAGATGGACAGAAAGGGCCCCTCGGTGGCGAAACCTCCTGTAGTCTTGCTCCACAGAAAATGAGCAAATATTGTTACCCTTAAATCAAATCTCTTTCTGAGTGGGCCTTCGAGAGAGCCCTGCGGCTGCACTGAAGGAGCTTGAAGCACCTGCCGGTAATTTCATTACAAAAGAATCTCGCTTACCTGTAGTTAGTTTAGTGCTGTAAGATGGCACTAATATATGGTACAGTGTACTCGCAGTATGAGTTTGGTAGCTGATCTGAAGCCACAATTCCAACTCCTTGAAGCCTTTGTGAGCGAACTCGTTGCTTTTGCCCTCCTTGCTGCCTCTCAGCCAGGCGTCAGATTGCATAGACTTTTCTCTCAAACAGGTTGCACTGCTCTAGCGGTAGATTTTAATGTTCTCAGGAGAAGCTAGCTTAAACACGGAAATAAAAAGCTTTATGACTGCAGTGTAAAGGTGCCTATAGAGGTTTTTTTTAATAGGGGTGTGTGTTTCCTATGACATAGTCCAAACTCATATCACACTGATAACAAAAGCCTTGAGATCAAATAAAAGGAATGGGGAGCTTTAATCCATGAAGTAATCTGAGCAAATGCTTGCATGGGCACAACCACTGGACATTTCTCCATATAATATTTCATATTTATAAGTCTGCCCTTCTGACTATGCTCGTCCAGGTGCATTAGAGACCATTGGAGTGTCTTGAGGTGGTTGGAGGATGGATGGCGGCTAACAGATTGAGTTGAATCCTGACAAGACGGAAGTACTGTTTTGGGGGGACAGGAGGCGGGCAGGTGTGGGGGACTCCCTGGTCCTGAATGGGGTAACTGTGCCCCTGAAGGACCAGGTGCGCATCCTGGGAGTCATTTTGGACTCACAGCTGTCCATGGAGGCGCAGGTCAATTCTGTGTCCAGGGCAGCTGTTTATCAGCTCCATCTGGTACGCAGGCTGAGACCCTACCTGCCTGCGGACTGCCTTGCCAGAGTGGTGCATGCTCTGGTTATCTCCCGCTTGGACTACTGCAATGCGCTCTACGTGGGGCTACCTTTGAAGGTGACCCAGAAACTACAACTAATCCAGAATGCAGCAGCTAGACTGGTGACTGAGAGCAGCCGCCGAGACCATATAAGACTGGTCTTGAAAGACCTACACTGGCTCCCAGTACGTTTCCGAGCACAATTCAAAGTGTTGGTGCTGACCTTTAAAGCAGCCCTAAACGGCCTCGGTCCAGTATACCTGAAGGAGCGTCTCCACCTCCATTGTTCTGCCAGGACACTGAGGTCCAGCTCCGAGGGCCTTCTGGCACTTCCCTCGCTGTGAGAAGCCAAGTTACAGGGAACCAGGCAGAGGGCCTTCTCGGTAGTGGCACCTGCCCTGTGGAACGCCCTCCCACCAGATGTCAAAGAGAAAAATAACTGCCAAACTTTAGAAGACATCTGAAGGCAGCCCTGTTTAGGGAAGCTTTTGTTTAATAAGTTATTGTATTTTAGTGTTTTGTTGGAAGCCGCCCAGAGTGGCTGGGGAAACCCAGCCAGATGGACGGGGTATAAATAAATTATTATTATTATTATTATTATTATTATTATTATTATTATTATTAAGCTAATGTGTTTGTTCTGCTTGCAGCCTTCCCACCTGAAATAAACCTCCAGTGTTTATTCTAAGCCTTTTCCCCCTACTGCACAAGCGGCCAAAACACTTCCCCATTCCCAACCATTCCATAACTGAAAGAAGGAATGCGACAGAGAGGGAAGAGAAAATAAGAATTAACAGAAAAAGGAGGGAAGGAAAAAATAACAGAAAGAAGGAAAGCTGGCAAATCTAGGGAAAGTAAAAAGACTGCGAGAGAGCAAGAAAAATAGAGGCGCCGGGAAAAGAATGGGGGTATAAAGGGATGCCCCCCTCCAGTTATTTGGGGAAAATATATTCTCTCTCTTCCTTAACCTATAATTGAGTGCTGATTCCCTTCGTGAACAAATCATGGCTATGAAGCTGAGCCCGCCAGCCCCCATTATATATTTAGTGACTAGAATTTGCCCTCTGTTGCAAAATGGCCATTTCCCTGTAAATATATATTGAATATTCTGTTTATAAGGGTCGATGGAGGAACTTCACAAAATGGCTGCTGAAAAACTGCAGAGCTGTGGCCTCTAAGCCATGTATTATTTACAACACTATCTGGAACAGAGTCTAAAGACACAAACTTATTAATAGCAATGTACTGTATCTGTCTGTCCTTCAGTTTGTCTGGGAACTTGGTGCATCCTTGCCAGAGTAGTTCAGTCCGTTAAGTTCTACAGTCTTGTTGGGCTTAGTGGAAGGAGGTGTCATTGCACCAAACTTCCATGATAGGAGTCAATTTCAAGGATTAGTTCTCCAGCATAGGTGAAAGCCAAAACAAACCTTGACAAACTGGAAGGAAGATCAAGGAATCCTGGAAACTGTAGTATGATGCAGGAGTTAATATTATAATTGAGGAAAGCACCCAGCAAACTCTCATTTGGAAGGGCAGAGGGTAAAAATAATACCTTTTTTGTTTTTTAAAAGTTTCATGTGAAACCCAAATGCTAACTCCCTGCTTTCTGATTTGTAATTGGCCCTAGTGAATATATAATAGGCTGTTTGAATTACCGTTTTGTGTGTGTGTAAGACGCCCCCATGTGCCCATTCTACCCTGACACTGAAGTCCAGTGCCAAGGGCCTTCTGGTGGTTCCCTCGCTGCGAGAAGCCAAGTTACAGGGAACCAGGCAGAGGGCCTTCTCGGTAGTGGCACCCGCCCTGTGGAACGCCCTCCCACCAGATGTCAAAGAGAAAAATAACAACCAAACTTTTAGAAGACTTCTGAAGGCAGCCCTGTTTAGGGAAGCTTTTAATGTTTAATAGGTTGTTGTATTTTAATGTTCTGTTGGAAGCCATTATAAGACGCCCCTTACTTTTGGGGACCCCAAATTTAGAAAATGGACATTCAGTGGTACCTCAGGTTAAGTACTTAATTCATTCCAGAGGTCCGTACTTAACCTGAAACTGTTCTTAACCTGAAGCACCACTTTAGCTAATGGGGCCTCCCTCTGCTGCCGCGCCGCCAGAGCACAATTTCTGTTCTCATCCTGAAACAAAGTTCTTAACCTGAAGCACTATTTCTGGGTTAGCGGAGTCTGTAACCTGAAGCGTCTGTAACCTGAAGCACCACTGTATGCACAATCCGTGTTTAAGACGCCCCAGATTTTAACCTTATTTTAAACTAAAAGAAACCTAGTCTTATGCATGGGAAAGTATGGTATATACGGAGAGGCTGGCAAGCTCTTGCACTTCCCAGCTATGTTTTATGTGACCCCGGTGCCAGGCTTGCAAGATAAGCCTCGACAGTAAAGTGTACAAGAGAATTAAGAGTTATGTAAGTTACCGGTGGAAATCAATGAGAAAGGATTAAGTGCGTCAACTATGGCCTCTAGTGTTCAATGGAAGGAAAGGCACATGGTCACACGACACAGTAAATGCTTTGCAGCCGTTCCAAAGCATCCAACTCATCTCCATTGAGAAATCAGGGGAAACAGCAGCATGCAACTGCCATATGAATGGCCCTCCTGGATCAGACGCTGTGGGTCAAACCAGAGACCCTAGGACTTGCCGATCAGAAGGTCGGCGGTTCGAATCCCCGTGACGGGGTGAGCTCGGTCCCTGCTCCTGCCAACCTAGCAGTTCGAAAGCACGTCAAAGTGCAAGTAGATAAATAGGTACCGCTCTGGCGGGAAGGTAAACAGCGTTTCCATGCGCTGCTCTGGTTCGCCAGAAGCGGCTTAGTCATGCTGGCCACATGACCCGGAAGCTGTATGTCGGCTACCTCGGCCAGTAAAGCGAGATGAGCGCCGCAACCCCAGAGTCGGCCACGACTGGACCTAATGGTCAGGGGTCCCTTTACCTGGATCAGACCAATGCTCCAGCATCTATGTCGTGCAGTGGCCAACAGGATGCCTTTTGGCAAGTCCAGAATAAGGGCATGAAGTCAAGAGCCCTCTTCTCCTGTGGATCAGGAGATTCTATATGACTAATAGCCTCACCTCCATAATAAGTTCATCAAAACCACTTGCACAGCCAATTTAGCTAGTGAACATCAACACTTGTTGTGGCAGAAGATGCCACAAAACATGCTATGTAAAAGAGAGTCCTTACTTTTGCCTCTTCTTTATCTCTTACTGATCAATTCCATTGGCTAACCCCAAATATGAAAGAGGCTCGTGTCCTTTATTTGTGTATTTATTTATTTGTCGTTTCATAAAATTTATATACCCCCAAAGTCACCAGAATAATCAGTCTCCTCACTGCCAAATTCAAAAGCCTCTGCTCCTCCCTCCTTCTTCTTTGCTGCCATTGTTGTTGTTTAGTCGTTTACTCATGTCCGACTCTTCGTGACTCCATGGACTAGAGCATGCCAGGCACTTCTGTCTTCCACTGCCTCCCGCAGTTTGGTCAAACTCATGCTGGTAGCTTCGAGAACACTGTCCAACCATCTCATCCTCTGTCGTCCCCTTCTCCTTGTGCCCTCCATCTTTCCCAACGTCAGGGTCTTTTCCAGCGAGTTTTTGCTTCTCATGAGGTGGCCAAAGTATTGGAGCCTCAGCTTCAGGATCTGTCCTTCCAGTGATCACTCGGGGCTGATTTCCTTAAGAATGGAGAGGTTTGATCTTCTTGCAGTCCATGGGACTTTCAAGAGTCTCCTCCAGAACCATAATTCAAAAGCATCAATTCTTCGGCGATCAGCCTTCTTTATGGTCCAGCTCTCACTTCCATACATCACGACTGGAAAAACCATAGCTTGAACTATACGGACCTTTGTTGGCAAGGTGATGTCTCTACTTTTTAAGATGCTAATACCTGTTAAATACCTGTTATCACTTTCTTGTTTAGCCTTTAGCCTTTAAGTCTCACTTAATGCTGTTTTCACTTGGCTCTCCTCCTACATCACAACTTCATCTTTCAGCGTTTCCGTAGTGGGAATGCTGTTTTCCTTTAATCGGATGTTGTACTGAAAACCAAGTCCTGTTTGTAAGCGCCAGCCACAGAAACTTGCTTCTCTTTTGAGTCCAGCAACCTTTCAGAACCACCTTTCCAAATAGTCACCCATCCTTCGCACATCTGCACAAGTTGTAATTAATTGCATTAAAACAGAAACGCTAGTTAAGAACAACAGTGGACCTGAGAACATTCGCACACAAAAATCAGATTATTTTCTTATCTTGCTGTATAATAAAATTGTAAGGCGTGACCACTCTGTTTTCATCGGCTAGTTGCCAAGGTTGAAAAGGGTTCAAAAGGCAGGCACAGGGTGAGGTTGCTCCCAGAAACTAGTGTGATGATGGTGGGGGAGCAAGAGAGAGAAGGGAGGGAGGAAGGGAGTTCCTGAGTCTGGGAGCCGCCACCAGGAAGGCCCTGTCCCAT